CTTGCCGCCGACTGCCAAAATTCCACCAGCCCGAGCCACTGCTATGCTCTGGACTCCGATGATTTGTTTGTATCTCAAAAGCTCCAGATTGGCATTTCTCAGCAGGCGGTACTATGTACATAATTTTCTTCAGTTTTAGGAGGTTCTTCAAGGATCATCAGTCTTTGATGTGATATGTGAATGTGTTTGTTTTAACAACTTGAGGGTATCTAATCTTTTTTGAGATTTTATGAATGAAATTTTCAGTGTCGGGTGTGTTTGAAAACCAGTTCTATTAGATTATTAGGTTTTATCAAAAAGTTTTCATTTCAAAGACAATGGCTACTGAATTCTGTCTGCAGTGAATATTTGGATAAGATATCATGCAGATACATGGGAGGATCAAAAGATAATGAACAACCCTGGAGTTTCCTCAGCACACCTAAGAGCAAGGCTTTCTAAACTGTGAAATCATGACCCCCCCCCCCACCCCTTAATAGGGTTGCAAGATGATATTCCAGGCTTGCACGCTTTAAGGTAGCAATCATTGTCATGGAGTTCTAAGTTTAACAGATGCAATGCTTCCTAAACCTTTGACATTTTTAAAATGATGTCCATGGCTTACTTCACTTATCTTTCAAGCCAAATTCTCATTGTAGGGTCATAGCAATTCTTAAGCCTTGAACTGGAGTTACAGCAGGAACACGTTTGTGAAGGATTGCTAAGATTATGTGAAAGATTATGAAGAAAATATTTTATGCTTTTGTTATGTGGAATGGCTGTTAAAAATGTAACTTAATATTTCTTTATGTTCCTTTATCCTCCATCAAAAATGTTACTAGCAATGCAGGATAATGTGGAAATTCTTTCTTTAGCTGTTTTGCTAGATTTTCCTGCTCATTAAAGCATTTGAGATTCTACTTTTCGCAAGGTTAAATATTAAAGACACTGAACAATAAACTTTATTCAACTGCAAATATACTTCTGGTATTATATAAAACAATTTAATGCAAGATTACTTTGGATATACGTCTGCATATTTGCTGAAAGGCTATAACAGTTTTAGTGCATTTAACAAAATCTCAAATTTCTCTCTTCCTAATTTACTGTTGGTAACTAAACTCAAAGAGAATAGTATTGTTTTGAATGCTTCACTAATACTTAGTACACCAACATTTGAATCCTAAATGTTTTATGGTGTTTCCAGTTATAATGATGTGGCCCTTTCACTGGACAATTTCACCCGCTTTTAACATCTGTATCATTGTACAGTTGTGAAAAGCGTTACAAGTCTTAGTATTCTGAACAATAGTAACTTTTCTATTTAAGTAATGCTATTACAATAGCATAAAACAGAAATTGCTGGAGAAACTCAGCAGGTCTGGTAGCATCTGTGGTAAAAAGGCAGAGTTAATGTTTTGAGTCCAGTGGCTAAGAGAAATGTTAACTCTGCTTTCCCTCCACAGATGATGCCAGACCTGCTGAGTTTCTCCAGCAATTTCTGTTTTTGTTTCAGATCTCCAGCATCCACAGTTGTTTGTTTTGTTACAATGACACTGTCATCTAGTATTTTTTAACATCAAGTTCTGCTACAGTAGTCTGTGTAATCACAGAACTAATAATTTGACAGCTGGCAGTGTGTGATTTCATCAGCCATTATACAACTTAAACAAGAACCACTACATCAGAGCTAAAAAAAAAGTAATACATGTAACTCAAATTTTGACAAATGGATTAACAAAACTAAATATTGAAATATCTTAGCAGCTCACATTGATGTTATCCAAATTTATATTAATTCCAAAAGAACTTCATCTTGTCTTAAAAGATAATAGAATTAAATAATATACTATCCAAGGCACTGTAGTAGACAGAATTCCATTATTACCAATAAGAAATACACTTAAAGTATTGAATCATACCAAATGAATTCTGCTATTCAATGGATTTAAGTACTTCAGTGTTATTGACAGTATACCAGTTAAAAAGTTCACATTAATTTTGTGTCTGTGATATTCTAGCACAATGGTGTTGTACACAAGGAATATACAGCACTAGCTTAATTTTTGCATTTTCATACATCTTAACACACAACTTCTTACAAAGTACACATAGCTTTCAACAAAATATAAAACTGCCCATTCCTCATTTTAAACTACTTGCGAGGTGTAACATTATAATAAAGAATAGTATTTAAGTTTTTAAAGTCTCAGTACTATACTAGCGATGTACACTATAGGTAAAATGTGCAAGCCATGTAAGAGGAAAGGTTCTGTGTGAAAATAGAAGGATATAGAGGTTAGACTTGGTTCAATGATAGCACTCTTTGAATCTGCAGACTGAGAGTTCATTCTGAAGACTTGAACCCTTAGTCAGGCTGATTCAACACAGTACTGGGAGTGCATTTTTCAGATGAAATGTCAGAGACACCATCCACCTCCTCAGCTATGTGTAAATGATCCAGTTGGACTATTTCAAGATATGGGGAGTTTATCTTGTGCCCTGGCCAACTGTTCTTCCTCAAACAGCACCACAACTAAACACCAGATCATCTGGTCATTTAGCTACATTACACCAGTGACCATACTTTAAAAGCAATGCATTGGCTGTGAATTGTTTTGGAATGCTTTTGGGAAATGCATTACACAAGTTAAATTCAAATTCTTTCTTTCAATTCATAGAGCATTTCAGGCCATTGATTTGTAATGTTGTAAAGCAAATAAGCAATACTCCTGCAATAAGTCTTGTAGGTAGCACTCTATCAGATTTTTGAAACAGTCACAATTCACGGAAGTAGTAATTTAGCTTTATATCGAAAGCAGCTTTACTAGTACGCACTAAGGTGAAGCGCATTTACATTTAAACATATATCTGGAATACTAATGAAACAGATACTATGTTGAAATTAGACAGGGCAGCTGAAATATGGTTATTAGGGTATTCAGATCCAAACTATCCTTGACATGTCACCGATGCACTATATTAATTCAGAAGTGGCTCAATGCCTGTACAAAAAGTCAAGATTTTAAGTTTTGTATGAAATTTTGGGTGCTTTTATGGGTATGATTTTTTGACAGTGCAAGAATAGCTGGAACCCCAACTACATGTGATGTAATTGTAATAGCTGTACAATAGTTAGCTAGGAGATGTTCATGCCACAACATGAAAGAGTTAAATTCCATTATGTTGCACCCAATTTAACAATCTCAATATTTCTCCAAATTAGAGATAGTAGGAACTGCAGATGTTGGAGAATCCGAGCTGTGTTCATCCAGCCCTGCACCTTGTTGTCTCGGTTTCTCCAAATTAGCCTGGATTTTGTGGTAGCAAGGACTAACTATGAGCATTTGTTTCCTATACTCATCTGAAATTGACAGCAGCTACTGGAGTGTGCAAATCTCCAGTTAAATGCATAAATTCATAAGTTGTGATTTGTGATTCAAACAGGATGCACTGTTGAGTTCCTCACAAATGTCACCATCACTTCAATTACATAGAAGCCGTGGCAATTATAAGACCGTGGCCTTTTTTGCAATTAGCTTCATCATAAAAACCATTGAAAAAGTTGCACCTTGTTGAATGAGGTATCACAATGATCTTTAATGATTTAATAAGTTCTCATTAACTTCTGAAAAAAATTCTGATGCTGGAAATGAATTTTATATTTATGGAACTTCTGTTTTAATAAAAATAACTTCACATCTTAAAAAAAAATGTGATATTTCACCTTATACATTTTTGATTGAGGCCTGTGCTATTTATTGCCAATCAATAATTAGATTTGAGAAGGTGATGGTGAATCTTCATCTTGAATGTAACAGAATGACTTGTTGGACTATTTTAGAGGGCAGTCAGCTGTATGTCTAGGGGTCTGGAGTCACATATAAGTCAGACTATGTAAGGGCAGCAGATTTTATAAGTAATAAAGGCCAACCAGATACACTCTTATTTAATCATTCATGGGATGTGGGCATCACTGGCTGGGTCAGTATTTATTACACAACTCTAGTTACACATGAGAAGGTGATGGTGAGCTGCCTTCTTGCACTGCTAAAGCCCATATGCTGTGCATGGACCTAGAATTAGGTTAAGGAAAGAGTTCTAGGACTTTGACCCAATGACAGTGAGTGAGCAGTGATATATTTCCAAGTCAAGATAGTGAGCGACTTGGAGGGGATCTTGCAGGTGGTGGTGTTCCCATGTATTTTCTCCCTTGTCCTTCTAGATGAAAATGTTTGTTGGTTTGAAGATGCTGCCTAAGGAGTCTTGGTGACTCTGTGCAGTGTACCTTGTAGGTGGTACACATTGCTGCTGCAGAGCGTTGATATTGGAGGGTGTAGATGCTCATGGATGCAATACCAATCAAGTAGGCTTTGTCCTTCATGGTGTCAAGCTTCTTTAATGTTGTTGGAGCTGTACTCATCCAGGCAAGTGGGGAGACTTCATCACACTTCTGACTTGTGCTTTGTAAATGGCAGAATAGGCTTTGGAGAATCAGGAGGTTAGTTATTTGCTGCAGGATTCACAGTCTCTGATCAGCTCTTGTAACCACTATAGTTGTACTGCTAGTCTAGTTCAATCTCTAGTTAATGATAATCCACAGATGGTGGCAGTGGGCATTCAGTGATCATAATGTCATAGAATGTCAAGGGGTGATAGTTAGATTCTGTCTTGTTGGAGATGGCCATCACCTAGCATTTGTATGCCACAAATGTTATTAGCCACATCTCAGCTTGGACGTAGCTTGGATACTGTCTGGGTTTTGCTGAATTTACACATGAACTGCTTCAGTGTCTGAGGAGTCACGAATGGTGCTGAACATTATACAATCATCGGTGAACATTCCCACTTCTGACCTTATGATGGAGGGAAAGTCATTGATGAAGCAGCTGGGACACTATCTGAGGAACTCCTGCAGAGATGTTCTGGGAAAAGGATGACTGATCTCCAACAACCACAACCAACTTCCTTTGTGCCAGGTATGACTCCAAGCAGTGAAATTTTCCCTAATTCCCATTGACTCAGTATTTTCTTGGGCTCCTCGATGCCACACGCAGTCAAATGCAACCTTGATGTTAAAGGCAATAACTCTCACCACCTCTGTAATTCATCTCTTTTGTCCTTGTTTGAACCAATGAGGTCAGGAGCTGAGTGGACCTGGTGAAATCCAAACTGGGCATCTATCAGCAAGTTACTGCTGAGCTGCTTGATAGCACTATTAACGACATCTTCCATCAATTTACTGATGATTGACAGTGAACTGATGGGACCATAACTGGTATGATTTGTTTTTTTTTGTGAATGGGACGTACTTTGGGGAATTTTTCATATTGTTGGGGAGATGCCAGTATAGCTGTACTGCAACAGCTTGGTTACAGGGGCAACAAATTCTGGAGCATAAGCCCTCAGTATTGTTGCTGGAATGTTGTCGAGGCCCATAGCCTTTGAAGTGCCCAGTGTCTCCAACTATTTCTTGATATCACATGGAGTGAATTAAATTACAGTAATTGTAGTCATTTGTAGATTGTTGTTTTTGCATCTGGTAGTCACATGGTCACCAATATTGACACTAGCTTTTTATGTGACATTAAGAGTCCAGCTGCCAAGGTGGGATTTGAACACATCTTCATATCAGCAGTTCAGGCCTCTGGATTGCTAGCCCAGGAACATAATCACCATGCTACCATACTCGAATATTCCATACATATATTTGAATCATTTGCATTGCTCTCTATAAGATGTAACAATATTGAAAGATTATAAATGCAAATCTTATTGGCTGTTTATCTCATGTGATGCCATCCCTGTCGTGCGATGCCCGAAGGTCTACCTGACATGATGTCAGATTCAAACTGGCTTTAGGAAATAGAAAACGTATGCTGCAAAGGTTGCCACATCTTTAGGGCAAATTTTCCTTAACCATTGACCATGAAAAGTGGGCCATTGCATTTGATGTCAACATTTGGCTATGTTTAACATCTGATTTCTGTGAGTGAGTAGCACATTATGTTCTAATATTGGTCAAGGCGATAAGTAAAATGGTTCCTTCAGGGAGTGTAACAACATTTTGAATTGGCAGAGTTTCTATGCTGCCACATTGATAAAATGGCCATTCTTTAAACGTGTGGTGAGGTATAAAAAGTTAGTGAATTGTAGTCTGGTGGAGGTGTACAGCGACTCATTTTTGTCTCAAAGGAATTAAGCAAGCTCAAACTCTCATGTTCAGACATTCGATTGCCTTCATCTTCAAGTTGATAATCAGTATTGTTAGTGCTTGTCTGATTGACAGTTTCAGTAAAAACTGACTCTTCACTCTTGCTTGCTGCTTTCGAGCTGTGGAGAAAAAAAAAACAAAAGTATGCTCAGTGACAGACGCAGTCTGAGAATGCATAGGTCATGCAATCAGTCGAACAAACCATGATGTAACACCAATAAGTTAGCAAATTTCTTATAGCAACATGAGAACATCTCACTAAAATTACTGAATAAACGTTATTAAAAATAATCATTAGAAAAGATAGATTGTTAATAGCATGGGGAGAAGCCTTGGGAAAAAAACAGAACATGTAAGATTCATGCTGCAAATATCAATGCATTACAGCTGTGTGTATAATTCATAGTTTCTTATTTATAATATTTTATTCAAGTTTATAGTCATCTTAGCCATGTGTTTTCGATTATAACTCAATCATTTCTTTTGTGAATGCTTCAGATACTTCCAAATTTCAAATCTTGAAAAAGACTATAGAAGGATGAAGGAGGAGATGGTGGTGTATTGATGAGATCCCTGGACTATTGATTCAAATGATGGTTTGGGGACATGGGCACAAATTCCACCATGGCAGCTGATGGAATTTTAATCCAACTAACAAAATCTGGAATTTAAAGCTAGCCTTCTGTCTTAGTGATCATGAAAAAAATCACCAAAACCCATAGATTCACAAATGTTGTTTAGAAAATCTTCTGTCTTTACCTACACTGATCTAAACGTGACTCCACAGCCACAACAATGTGGTTGACTTTTAATTCACTCTGAAATGAGCTGAAAACTGCTCAATTCACAGACATGAAGAAGGGTCTCGACCCAAAACGTCAGCTTTCCTGCTCCTCTTGGCTCTCATCCAGCTCTACACCTTGTTATCTCAATTCACAGACAATTGGGAATGGACAACAAATGCCAGCCTTTCCAGTGATGCCCACATCCCATGAAAGAACATATTGTTTGTAGAAAGGCAGAACAGAATGCTGAAAAACCTGCTCATAAGCCATCAGGAAGTTCAATTCTTGAAGTTATCATGTATACATTTTGTCAAAGGTTTAAATATGTGTCAATTTACCAGGCTTGCTACAGAACCACCAAGTTGGATCCTAGCTTTTAATGATGATTAATTTCAAATTTTGGGCATACTTTATGGCAACTATATGAGAGTTAAACTGAAGCTTCAGATGTGATCCAGCTTCTCCATATCATTTGCCATAGGTTGTGGCTTTTATTGTAAAAAAAATATTATTTTTAAATTAATCATTACAGAGATGAAACATGCATTCACAATTAATTTTCATAAAAACATGTTTTAACTTCAGGGTCATTGGTATCGCTGATTTTAGTGTGATTATTTTTGTACGTAACAGATCAACGTTTATCTCTGAACTTTACAACTCGGCTCCTAAGCTTGCAGAAGTTTGCTAGCTTAGGGTCTTTCTTCAGTGCATGGTGCCAGGGCACCTGACATTTAATGTTTTGTTCAGGGCAGTATCATTTTTCTTTTTTGACTATATTGGAATGAAGTAAACTCAGATTAGTGGATTCTCAGATAGTGGCTTAGGTGATCTGATTCATTCTAAGGTAACTTGCTATTTCAAGCTGTAGCTGAATACGATCAATTCCTCACTCCTATTGGATATTAAAATTCAAAACATTTTAGCCCTTTCAGAAGGAAATCCTAAAGTCTGTCAGTTGTGGATTGTTTTTAAAGAGCGGATTCCTATTCATATTGAAATAATAGCTCCATCAATGTTTCTATTGAAAAACTGAAATCAGAATTGAAAGAAAGAATTCGTATTTGTTTAATGCCCAACATAAGTTAAGAATGTACCTAACTCTTATGGCCAATGAAGTACTTTTGTTTTCATGCAGAAAGTTCCCACAAATAACAGTGATACGAAGATAATCTGATTTCTGTCTTGCTTGAGCAATAAGTACTGACCAGGATACTGAGTGAATTCTCCCTTTCTTTTTCAGATGGTGCTTTTGTACCTTTAATGTTCACTTCAGAGGGCATATGGGACTCAGGTTAATGGCTCATTTTGAAGAGCAGCCCTCCCTTAGTACTGGTCTGAAGTAGACAGTAGGTTACATATTTAGGTCATTGTAATGAGACTCGAACCTACAGAATCTGACTCAAAAACAAGAGTAGTAGCATCGAACCAAGCTTGATACCTAATTTCCTGAAAAAATAAGCAATTCAAAGAATTCAATTTACGCAGTAATGCTTTTAAACCTTTGTATCTACAGAAATATAGAAGGTGTCACTCACCAACTGTAAAGAGTCAGTGTGAGGGAGCCTTTGCTAAGCAAGTGAGACAGCAACCAAATGAGTGTATCTGGGAATGGGTTCAAAGTGGGAATTCAGAGCAGAGGGAGATAGAGGTTCTTCAAGTAAGGTCTACTGCAATAGTAGTCTCTAGAGCAAGAGGTGAGTGGGAGAGGATAAAAGGCTAAAATCAAAAGGCCGAATTTTATGGAGATCAGCACCAGAGTCATTACAAACTATAACATGACCCAGTTGCAGGGAAGAAAGCTGATTGGTGAGTCTTTAAATTAAGAGAGTTGGGTCATTAAAGTATAGTCATGGCTGAGATAGAGAGGTTTTTAATCAGTCATGGAATCAAGGGTTATGAGAAAAATAGGAAAGTGGAGTTGAGGATTATCAGATCATCCAAGCTCTCACTGAATCACAGAGCAGACTCAATTGGCAGAATGGCTTGCTTATACTCTGTCTTATGGTCTTGTTTTTAATCATTAGCTAAATGAGTTTGAACTCTGTCTACTCTTTTACAACACTAAATGTAGTGTATCATCACAATAATGGTGGAGACAGGTTTGTAGCACATCTAGTAATGCTCCCATATATTTTGCCACTGTACTTGATTTGACTATGCTAGCATATATTTCTTGAGGTAATCATGTTTATCATTAAGATAACGGTTGAACCTAACTAGCTGCATTATTTCCTGTCACAGACTCTTTGATACCTCCGTGGGAGCCATCGAAGTCAATAGCTTTCTGTAGTGTGTTACTATATTTTTCCAAATTTAAGAGTATGAGGCAGTCTCCAGCCCAGAATCCCTTTGAGTAAAACACTGCAGTGAAAAGTACATTGCTTTCATAAGAATCAGGAAATCAGGAGCAAGAAGGAACATCTTTTTATATACATCAAGGTAACAGACTTTTGTATAAGTTATCTGGAAATGCCATTATAGTAAATATTGTAAGTTTAGCAATGAGAAGTTTTGAATACCGAACAGATTGCAAGATATGATCAAAACATAATTATTGGGGATTAAAAGTCTGCATTTGGTCAAGGACATTTTCTAGTCCTTAGACATTCATGTGCAGGTCAGTTGGTTACCCATATCTGAATAAGAGCTGAGCACCCCAGTAAATTCTTTCTGGTACACCTAATTCTTTTTTATTCATTCATGGGTAATGGGTGTTGCTGGTAAGGCCAAGATTTATTACTTAACACTAATTACCTTGGAAATGGTGGTAGTCAGCAGCCTTCTGCACCACTGCAGGTTATTTTCCCTTGTGGGAGAGTCTAGGACAGACTGTTGTTAGGAAGGGAGTTCCAGAATTATAACCCAGCAATGCTGAAGGAACGGTGATATTTTCTAAGGCAGGATAGTGTGTGACTTGGAGGGGAACTTGCAAGTGGTGGTGTTCCCTTGCATATGTGTCTCTGATCCTTCAAGATGCTATAGATAATAGGTTTGGAAGGTGTTCTCTGAGGAGCCTTGGTGTGTTAATGCAATTCATCTTGTAGATAGTACACACTCTGTGTCAATGGTGCAGGGAGTGAATACTGATCCTGGTCGATGTGGTGTCAACCAAATGTGTTACTTTGTCTTGAAAGATGTCAAGCTTCTTGAGAGTAGTTGGAGTTGCACTTATCCAGGCAATTTGGGATATTCCATCACACTCCTGACTTGTGCCTTGTAGATTGTGGACATGAATTTAGGAGATAGGTGGTAAGTTACTCACTAACCTCTGACCTGCTCTTGTAGCCACGTTGATTATATGGCTAGCCCAGTCTATGTTTTTGACCAATAGTAACCCCCATGATGTTGATAGTGGAGAATTAGAACATAGAAATGAGGAACTTCTATATTTGTTTGTCATCCTACTTCATATGACCGTATTGGGAATCATAAATGAATATATACCATCTTATTTGATACAATGTATCTCCAGATTAAATCTCTAAACTTGAGTAACCAGTTTGGTAGCAGTTATGCCACATTTGACATAAACTAAACACATAATCTAGACTGACATGTCAACAAAGTACTGAAGAAGGATTGTAGGTGGTGTTCCCCTCCTGGTAATACTGGTAAACAAAGGCTGTGCCTGTCCAATTAAGAGGATATAAAAGAGCTTGTGACATAATTAGAGGAAGAGTAGAGAGTTCTCCTAGTGTAAAAACAGAAGTAGTGCTGGAGAAATTTAAAAGATCTGGGAGCATCCATAGAGAGAGAAACAGATCCAACTTTTCAAGCTGGTATGAGCCTTTGTCAGAACTCCTTCTTCAGTTCTGGTGTTCTGGACAATATTCCTCAATCAACATCACCAAGGCAGCCCATTTGGTCAGTTTTTTAAAATTGCTGTTTATAGCACCTTGCTGGCCAGAAATTGGATACCATATTTACAGAGATATACTGGTATTAGAGACAGTTCAGAGAAGGTTCACTTGGTTGTTCCCAGGTATGGACGGACTATCTTGTGAAGAGAGATTGAGTAGATTGGGCCTATACTTGTTGGAGTTTAGAAGAATGAAAGGCAACCTTATTGAAATATGAAAGATTTTTAGGGGGCTTGACAAAGTGGATGCGGAGAAGTTGTTTCCCCTTGTGGCAGAGTCTAGGACAGAAAGTCAGAGTAATGGAGACACTCTATAAGGCAGAGATGAGGAGGCATTTCTTCTCTCAGAAGTTAGTGAATCTGCAGAATTCTTTAAGAAGGCTGTAGAGGCTGGGTCAACAAGGCTGTGATAGACAGATTTTAATCAGAAAGGAAATCAAGTTTCATGGGGAAAAGGCAGGAAAGTGGAGTTGAGGATTATCACAGCTGCCATGATCTCATTGATTGCTGGAGCAGATTTGATGGGTTGAATGGCCTACCTTGTTCCTGCATCTTACAGTCTGATTCTGAAAACTAGAAGTTATTGCACTTGAGAAGCAATGAAGCACTTTGTCAGGGATTTTTGCTCGCAGGCTGGGAACCCAGAGTCTGGACATTGTCCAGCTCTGCAAACACAACCCAGGAGGAAGTGCTCTGGAACTGCAGATTTTCATTTTGAGCTTCGGATTTTCTTGACAAAGAAAAGATCCTGTCAACAGTGTGAAGCTGCTGGGTGCAGAAGCACTTTAATTGAAACATTTTTAGAAAATCAATACATCAAAAAATAACCTTACAGTGTTCAGCCCTCACACTCTCACTTATTCTTCTTGCCCAACCATGTTAAACTATGACCACATCCACCCTTCATGGCCCTTTATACTCTCTGTGTCAACCTATGGTGCCCCTTCCCATGCACCACTAAAGCCCATAATTACCTGAATGTCAACCCAACCACTATCCAGTATGGACCACTCTTGGTGCCCATATTGAGATTTAATGCAATTCTTAAATGTCTACAGGTGACTTTTTAAAAAAAAATAACAGCTTTTTTGAAATATATAAAAGACAGTATCTTTGAATAACTTGACAGCTTTATAGATCCCTTTTAAGGTACCTTTCGATAGTACCCTCAACTGTTCTGAAAAGTTTATGTACTTTTTACACACATTCCTGGCTACCTTTAGCAAACCCTGGCCAGGGACTATATCCAAAATGGTAACTTATCTATTCAAAAATGTACCCTATCTATCCAAGCAACTCTGCATAGTTTATTCCTTCTCTTAAGAGGTCTAAACTGCACACATCCTGTTTTCCACTCGTAGCTAATGAAGATCAGATATGACTGGAGGCAGCCACTACTTTATAATTGCAGCTGCTTGTGAGAGCCATGGATAAATAACTTGGAACCATACCCCATTCTGTGCATTGCCAGCCCCTGATGTTGTGAAAATTCCAGCTTTTGAGTACATTTCAAAAGCAAGTAGTTTCTTTTCTTTAAAGATTGGCTTGCATACTATCTAACAATTATAGGTTTTTTTTCTCTAATTTCTCTTTGTCCTGTTACGTGCTGTGCTTTGTTTCTTTGTGTAAATTAGTTTAGAAAAAAAAATCAATTAGCAGAGCAACCTGTTAGGATATCCTCTATTTCATGTTTAGGTCCTATTAGTGGTACAACTCTCGCCAAAACATAAGAGTAAAATTTTTTAAGTTGCTTTACAAATGATTTGCAATGTACGCAAGGCCAATTTTTTTTTATTACACCAGGGACCCGTATGCAGGATTATGAACCAAAATGCACGCTTTCATCAGCTACAAAAAAGAACCTTTTTTTTAACCATACTCACTGTCCTACTATTTTTTGTTAGTTCTGACGCATTTGGCATCATTTCTTCCATTTCTAAAACAAAATCATTCCTTTCCTTTACAAAAGTGTCATTACTTTAGGTCAATCTTTCATCAACATATTTGGCTGCTCTTACTCTTCAGTTCTGCTCTGTGCATATAATTTTATTAAGAGCCCAATCATGTCATTCTATAGTAATCACAGCTGTTAAAGAACTCTACAAGCTGAACCTATTTCTGTTTTGCAAATAAAGTAAGGAAAAATGCTTTAGGAAACAGGCAAGTGCAGGAAGTATTTCATGTGAAAAACCTGCCAGTACTTTTATTCTAAATTTTGCAACCTAATTAAGTTGGAATGAACGACAAAGATACCAGATAATTAATGGGGTACTCATAAATAGCAGAGGTTCACTCAGGAATTAAGCTGTAACAGCAAGTTTGCTTCACCATCACCATTTGAAATGATGTTTATACTGCACAATTTACTCATACTTAAAAAGCATTTCATCACAAAAAGCACTTCCTACTTAATTTCTTTCCTGTAAATTCAGTGCAGACAAGCACAAAGTGCTATACTGCAAGTACTCCCTGCTCTGGTCATTTAAGTTTCTGAAACATGTCTTATTTTTTCCCTGGTCTCAACTGTTATAATTACAGCTTTTAACAAATATGCTGTATATCTTTTATACATCTTTTATAATATTAGATTTACCCAAAAGAATGTAAATGCCTTGGTTTGATTTCGGCCCACATTGGATGATCCAATTCTTCTGATGTTAACACCATTCCACTATCAGTCTGATAATCCTGAAAAATAAACAACAGTAGGCTCATGCAGGTTTGCTATTTAACTTGGTTATTGGCTGTGCAAACTAGTGGATCTTTCTAATATTCTGAAATATGATTATATCATGTTGAATACCATCTCTATTTTAAATCGAAGTAGAAGAACTGGCATTCATTGTGTATTAGCATTCTTTTGACTAATGCCTATATTGTATAATCACTGAAAATAATACTATTTTTCCACTTCTTCTGGCTAAGGAGTTTAGGACTAAGAGGGAGAAATTAATGTTTACACCTAGTCCTTTCAAGAGTGATATTGGAACACACTTCTACATACAAAGGACCATAGACATTTGGAACTCTCTTTTGCAGATGGCAATTAAGGCTAGATCTATGGCAAATTTTAGATTTGAGAAGAATGGATTTTTGTTATTCAATGTTGAAAGGGAGATGGGACAAAGATATGGCAGTACGTCACAGATCATCTATGACCTCGCTGAACAATGAACTGCTCAGGGGACTGAAAGGCCTGCTTCTGTTCCTTTGATAGCAACTGGAAGGCACACAAAATATGCTGTGCATGTGTACTTTGGGCTTGCACACAGTGCATGGAGTACCTTAGTTATTTACTTAAAATAGCTACTTAGTTTACAAAGATCATAATATACAGATGAAGGCCATTCAATCCATCTTGAATGACCATACACCGTCTCCTCTGCTTGTCTAATTGCTTCTCAATGATTCCAGAGTTTCAAATTTAGTAAATTAAGAGTAAGATTTTTAAATTTACTGTGTGAAGTTTAGCAGTTGTTGGTGGCATTATGGTTACATCACTGTACTAGCAGTCCAGAGTCTCAGAATGACGCCTTCAGGAGGCAGGTTCAAATCTCACCATACAGCTGCCAGGATAAATCTAGATGTTTTATTTTAAGAAATCAAGTTGCAGTAATGGTGACAATGACAGCATTATGGATTGCCATTAAAAAACCATCTAGCTCACAAACGTACTTTATGGAAGGAAATCTACCATCCTTACTGGTTTGGCTTATATGTAATTCCAGAGCCATTGTAATGTTGACTCAAAACTGCCCTCTGAAAGTCCAAAGATATGTAGGTTGGGTGGAATAGCCATGCTAAATTGCCCATAGTGTCCAGGGATGTGCAGCTATGGGAAATGTGGGATTACAGGGATAGGATAGGAGGGTTGGGTGCTCTTCGGAGGGTCAGGTCAGTGTGGACTCGATGGGAAAAATGGCCTGCTTCCATACCCTAGGGATTCTATAATTCTCTGAAATGGCCTAGCAAGTCACTCAGACCAATGCAATTAGGGATGGATAACAAATGCTGGTGATGGCCATGTTCAATGAAAGAATAAAGATAAAGAAAAGCTGCATGGGGCAAGGACATGTCCTAGAAATAGAAGTTCAGCTGCTGCCTGTTGTCAGACCATTGCACTGAGACAAGGGCATAGCTCTGAGGTGAGGTTTTTTTTATAGTTTAAGGGATGGTAGTTAAAGGTCAATTGCAGGTTAGGCAAGAAGCCAGAATTAAGAACCTCAACAGTTCAGGTATCATCTCGTATCACATGAGCATCATAGCAGTGTTCTTAGTTGTTTGAACTCCAGAATCAGCAGCAGGAAAGGGGATACATGGAAATTGGTGCGAGAAGCAGGATGCTGTACAGGATGTGCATAGCATCAGGCAATAAAAGGCCAAAGGAAAGGGTTAAGGGACACGCAGAAGAATGAGATGCCACCCTGACTACAATATCTAAACGGGACAGGTAGAAACACCTGCACGTAATTGGATCAGTGGCAGAGGATACTGTGAGTCTGTATGAAGATGGCCACAGATGTCTGTACCCTTGTCATCTGCGAACCTCTGTCACATTTTTCATTATGTATTATATATTCACTTGGGCTGACATCTGGCAAGTAAAATGTGCACCACACAATTGCCAGGTAACGACCATCTCCAATAAGAGACAGTTTAACCATTGTCCTTTGACATTTCCAGGTAGAAGAACAAGGCCAGCAGATACATGAGGATACCACCTACAAGTTCCCCTCCAAGCACTCACCATCCTGACTTGGAAATATATTGCTGTTCCTTCACTGTCACTGGGTAAAAATCCTGGAAATCCCTCCCTAAGAGCATTGTGGGTCTACCTACAGTACATTGTCTGCAGTAGTTCAAGAAGGCAGCTCAGCATCACCTTCTCAAGGGCAAATAGGGACAGGCAATAAATGCTGGCCAGCCCAAGATGCCTGCGTCCCACAAGTCTATTAAAGAAAGGAGACACAATAAAAACCCTGTAAACATTGCCAACACAGAATCCATGATTGAGGAGAAAGGAAATCACCCCAGAAACATTATCACAGATGGTGGCATCACCCAAACATGTGCAATGGAGACAGAGGAACAGGGAGAAAATAGAGGCCTTATAGGAAGTCGCATGTGAGAAAACCGTTTCATTTTCTATCTTTCTGTTCCAGTTCTGATGGCACGACATTGTGAAAATGTAACAAAAACAGAAATTGCTGGAGAAACTCAGCAGGTCTGACAGCATGTGTGGGGAGAAAACAGAGTCACCAGACTTGAAATGTTACCTCTGTTTTCTTCCAAAAGATGGTCCCAGACCTGCTAAGTTTCGCCAACAATTTCTGTTTCTGTTTTTGTTTCAGATCTCAGCATCTACAATTCTTCATTTTATGTTTGAGAAAATGTAACTCTAGTTTCTCTCTACAGATGCTACTTCAGCCCCTGAGTATTTTCAGCCTCTTTCAATATCATCTTTAGCTCTTTCAACACCCTTCAAGTGGTACTCTTATATCGCCTGTCTATTTCCATGTGCAGTATGTTAAATTTTTCTGTTTGAACTTTCTTTCACCGTTGCTGTCGCTATTCATATTTTGCTCAATATTTTAAATATTTTCTATGCTTCATTTTCAATTTTCTTGGCCTTTTCAGTATTTTTTGTCTGCAAATGCGAACAATTTGGATGAATTTTAAATTAATTATCTCAATGTTTGTGCAGGCAAAGGCTAGTTTCTTGATGTAAGACAGACATCTATTTGTAATAATTCTGCAATCTTTCCCAAATAAGTGTGTACGTTGTAAAAGACTAGATCTTTATCAGACTTACAGAACAGCCCCATCAAGGAAAGTGTATTTAATATTAATAGGCGCAGTTATGACAAATATTGTTTTTTTAAAAGAAATTGTGTAATACCTTCTTATATTTTCTTCTTGTTTTAATCTTCAAACAATCTTATTCAACTGGACAATATCAATGGAAAGGAGGGAGCAGGTGATCAGCAAAATAAAAAATCCTAATATTATGTTGCTGCTTGCCCTCCATTCTCTGTTCTCTGTTCTATTCCATGTTGTAATTCTTTGATTAACATTTTTTCTCATTAAACTGCTATCCTGAGATATTGTTATGTCTGGTTCAGTTCCTTCCCTCTGTCATTTTAAATCTTTCAACTTTTTTGAACCTAATGATAATTTTGGCTACAGACTCCATTTGGTCCAGTTTCAATTGAAGTGGATTAAATTTTGAAAGAAACATGAACACGTTATTGCTGAGAATGCATTGTTTTCAATTCTTATAATAATACTCTTTCTCAATAAGGATGGAAATCAATTCACCCCAAAGGGATTACTCACATTTGACTCAAGTAGTGAACAAAGAAAAGCATAGCTTATTTCAGAAGAACTTCTGGAGTTTAAGCAGGACATAAGCTCAGACAGTCCCATCTTCTTCTGTTTGATTAAAACTAACTTACAAAGCATGACAACAATCCTTAAAAGTGCAACAGTATTAGAGAATACAGGTTCTCACTTTAAGTATATTTACAACCATATTTTACTCTGTATTTTATCATTATCATAAAGCTTGAGGTGTTCATAAATTCAAAAGGGAAGAGGCAAAGATTCAGAAGGAAACCAAATGTATTTTGTGAAGTTTGTCATAACATGGTTGATAACATCTATCCATTGTAATGTGGGGAAGGATGCTTGCAAAGCTGTATTGTAACTCCTAAGATTTGAAACAGAGCCAAAGCTATCAAACAGTGCACAACAGTATATGTTCATAAGAAAACTTACATCTGTTAATGTTGCAAGTTGAAGTGGTAACTCTTCAAAGGTCTTTAAATTCTGTGGATGTTTCTTCATACCAGTGTTAATATATCTATAGTGACAGCAACATGTTACACATTTAAATTTGTCTGCATGACAGAGTTAAGCAAAGATAATTCTGTTTGATATCAGAGAACATGTAAAGCATTTAAATATGAGCAGAATCTAATCATTAGATTTTATTTAATGATCTTCAATGTCTGATGTATAATATACAGTAATGACATCAATATGGGTATGTAAGAGAATGTCTAAGATTGCATATGGCACAAACTGATGTGGCTTTATGTGGACATGGGGCATTTGAGTTTGAGTGGAAACAAATTTACAATGTACAAACAAAATGGAAAATGAGAGTTAACATTGAAATTTGATATAAGGATCATCTTTAACGAGTGAAACAGTGTGAGTAATTATCAAATCAGAATTTACAAGTAAATCCATAGACCTAACTACATAAAAGCTTAAAAGAACAGCAAGAGTATAATAGACTATAAGATAAAGGTATAAAAGTAGGCCACTCACCCAAATGATTCTGCTCCACCATTCAATGAGATCATGTTTGATCCAATAACTCCACTTTCTAGCCTGTTCTCTAATAACCCTTGATTCCCTTACTGATTAAAAATCTGTCTATCTCAGCCTTGAATATACTTAATGACCCAGCCTTCGAAGCCCTTTACAGTGAGGAATTCTACAGATTCACTACCCTCAGAGAAGAATGTGCAACCGCATATTCTGAGTTTATACCCTCTGGTCCAAGTCTCTCCCACAAGGGGAAACAATATTTCCATGTCTACTCTGTCAAGGCCCTTAAAAATCTTGTACGTTTCGATAAGATTGCCTCTTACTCTTCTAAATTCCAGTAAGTACAGGCCCAATCTCCTCCTAAGACAGTCTCTCCATACCTGGTATCAGCCTAGTGTACCTTGGCTGGACTGCCTTCAATGCCAGTACTCCTTGCCTTAGATAAGGGGCCCAAAACTGTTCACAATATTCCAGCTGTGATCTGACTTGTACTTTGTATAGTATAAACAAAACCTCCCTACTTTTAGATCCATTCTCTCTTGAAATAAAGGCCACCATTCCATTTGTCTTCCCTATTACCTTCTGAACTTGAATGCTATCTTTCTGTGATTCAATGATGAGAACTCCCAAATCCCTCTGTTTATTTCTTCTTTACTCATTCATGGGATGAGGGCGTTGCTGGCCAGGCAGCATTTATTGTCCATTCCTAATTGCCCAGAGGGCAGTTCAGAGTCAACCACTTGGCTGTGGGTCTGGAGTCACATGTAGGCCAGACTAGGTAAGGATGGCAGCTTCCTTCCTTAAGAACATTAGTGAACCAGATGGGTTTTTCCAACAATTAACAATGGATTCATGGTCATCATTAGATTCTTAATTCCAGATATTTATTGAATTCAAATTCCACCATCTGCTGTGGTGAGATTGGAAACTGGGTCCCCAGAATATTATCTGGGTCTCTGGATTAACGGTCCAGCAATAATACCACTAGGCCATTTCCTCCCTGTTCTGTAACTTTTCTCCATTTAAATAATAAGTTCATCTGTTCTTCATGCAAAGTGCATAAGCTCACACCTTCCCACATTATATTCCATCTGCCAAGTTTTTATCCACTCACTTAACCTGTTTCTGTCCCTTTGGAGACTATTTGTGTTATCCTCATCATTTGCCTTCCCACCTATTTTTGTGTGATTTGCAAACTTGGCTCTAATGCGTTCACTTCGCTCATCCAAGTCATTAATAAATATTGTAAATAATTGTGGCCCCAGCTCTGATACCTGTGGCACTCCACTAGTTATGGGTTGCCATCCTGAAAGTATCATCCTTATCCCAACTCTTTCTGTCTATTAAATAGCCAATCATCTATTCAGGCTAGCATACTGCCTCCAACATCATGGGCTGTTATCTTATTAAGTAGTCTAACATGTGGTACCTTATCAAAGATTTTCTGAAAATCCAAATATATTCCATCCACAACTTCTCCTTTACCTATTCTACTTGTTGTTTATAGTAAATTTGTTAGACATCATTTCCCCTTCCTGAAACTATGCTGACTCTGCTCGATCACATTATGTATTTCTGAAGGCTTTGATATCATATCCTTTATAATAGACTCTAACAGTTCTTCAAATAACAGGTGTTAGGTTCATTGGCCTAAAGTAACATTTTCTTTATTTCCTTCCCTTTTTCAGAAAAGTTGTTACATTGGCAGTTTTCCAATCCTCTGGAACTTTTCCATAATCTAAGGATTTATGGAAGATTTCAACCAGCACATCCATTACCTTTGTATCCACTTCCTTTAATATTCTATGCTGCATCCCATCAGATTCAGGGGACTTATCAGTCTTTAGTGCCATTATTTTCCCCAGCACTCTTCCTCTAGTAGTGGTTATTGTATTTATTTTCTCTCCTCCTTTACCTCTGATTATTTAGTAATTTTGGAATGCTATTCATATCCTCTATTGTGAAGACAGATACAAAGCATTTGTTAAACTCCTCTGCCATTTCTTGATTCCCCATCATTACTTCCCTAGCCTTATTATGATGCTGGTTTTAAATGCATCTATTGCCCTCATTTAGAGGGAGTAGTGATTGGGAGGGATTAAAATTGACCTTATTGACCTTGTGCTGAACCATTTCTACCCAGCAACATCTTATCATGACTGACATCAAGGTCAGTCACGGCTTCTGCTTCTCGCAGTTGGGCTTCTAAGATATGTTGTGACATCATTGGTGCCAAAAATGATTTTTACAACTCTAAATGAGGCTCACCTGCACTCAAATCTGCTAGAATAGGTGCTGACAGAATGTGTCTGAGTTGCCAGAAGACGACTAGGTCAGCAAATTTCTGCTCTTCGGTAAGAATCCATAGTCCTACACTGCCTCTTTCTCTCACTTTCCACACTTGTATATATTTGGTGCAGCTTTTCCATCACTCTGGCTAGTTTTTGGTGGGAGACAAATTTCAAATATTAAAATAAGCTTGGCAGTTAAAAGTTTGTCTCCTTCAGAATGTTGAGCTCTGCTGCCTGGTTAAAGTCTCCCATTACTACTTCTGCCATCCCATTAAAACCTCCCCCTCACTTGTTATGCTGAGTCATTTGGGATGTTTTAGTTATTAAAAATATGAAATAGTCGGGACAACGGCCAATGAGAATGATTTAACTCATAAATCAATGAATTATAAAGGGGTGTACACATTATGTTTTACACATTTAATTTACATATTTAATGATGCAGAATCAGAAAAACTGAATGATATAACTGTAAGTTGCCAAAATCAAAAGTTGATGGCAAGTTTTGAAATGGTTTGCACTTAGATTAAGCCTAAGGGATAAATAGTCAAAAAGCACTGTATATTTTCAAAGTTCGAGCATGAAAATAATAGATTTCAGATTCAACATGGATTGCAGAAAAATAGGCGTAATTATTTTTTCTCTTCCTAACTATCCAACACGAAATTAATTGGCATTTTACAAATGCAGAGACAGCCATGATCCTGACAATGTTGTTGCATAGCAGTCAGGAATGGACATTACAACTTTATATATTTCCCAGCCCAGCTCTTAACTAAAGTTAGCAACGCAGCTACTAGCAAGAATTCAGCACAGGATATGATTCACACTGGGTTCTCTATCTGATCATTCATTTTTAAGTAAAAAATGGCCATGCTGATTTGAGCTCAACCCTTGTGGTCTAAATGATTTAATAACTGCTGTTTACTGCATTAGTATTTTCGGTAGCTAATATTAACTATTTTGGCAGTGAAAAATTAAGGCAATTTTTAAAATCTCATTTCTGTGTCAAGTGAAATTATTGTAAATGGAGTTAAAATTATATCAAAACTTGTCTCATCTTCACACAGTTTTGAGGATGAAATCAATCTTAATTGTTATATAAAACTTGTGACTGCAAACGTGCAGGCTTATCTAAACTTAGATTAATTTCCTTTTCCATTTCCATTTACTGACTTAGGAATTATCTTAGGAAATGATGATAACTGTGATAGAACTAAATCCACATGCATGCTGAGAAATCTTATAGGGTGTTCTTTGTAAATTGTCTCTATACTTAAACAATTGTGGTTTCACTGTTAATCTTTATCAAAGGTGAGCTTGGACAGAAAAAACATCCATCAAAACAGATACCACCACTACAGTCTGCCTGTCCTACGTAGTATCCTTGAAATTTGCTAAACTGGGAAAAGCTGGAAATCAGACATGTATTCTGACACAATTCTCCCAGGTTGCCTGACATCACATACACTCCAGGGGGCTCCATTAAATTTAGCCCCTTTTCAGTAAGTATTTTCATTTTTCAGATGAAGAGCAATATATTTTACCCAAAGCTTCCTGTACGTTTGTAATTAAATTTTGCACCCTCCATTTCATCTCTCAAGCAGGAATCAGGTGATGTTGGAACCAAAAAGTGAAAGCTATTTGTTACCAGCATGGTACTCAGTGGGATGTAGTCTTTTCCATCCTGTAAAAGAGAACATATCCTTTGTATTATATGTAAAAAAAAAAATCTTTACATTTAAAAGTGGCGAAAAAGCTTGCTCTTTGCAGCAATAATGGAAAATAATAGCACACTGAAGCAGTCCATGTTCAAATGCAACATGATTTGGACAATATCCAGGCTTGAGCTTGCAAGTGGCAAGCAACTTTTGATCCATACAAATGCCAAACAATGACTATCTCCAATAAGAAACAATCTAACCATCATCCCTTGACATTAAGGCATCACCATCACTGAATCCCCTACTACCAACATCCTGGGGGTTATCATTGACCAGAAGCTAATTTGGACTTGCCATATAAATATGGTGGTTATAAGAGAAAGTCAGAGGCTAGGAATACTGTGGTAAGTAATTCAACTCCTGACTCCCCAAAGCCTGTCCACCATCTACAAGGCACAAGTCAGGAGTGTGATGGAATACTCCCCACTTGTCTGGATGAATGTCTGGGGATAGGGTAGGGGTGTGGGTCTGGATGGGATGCTGTTTGGAGGGTCGGTATGGACTTGATGGGCCAAATGAAATCCCTTTTTGTCTTTATAACAGTTCGAAATTGAATCTCAAAATATTTCAACTCAAATATTGGTTATTAACTGAAACAGAAATCCAGTGCATGGGCAGAAAAACAAACAGTACCTGTTGGGCATTTGCTTGCAATAAATCTCCAAGTCTTTGCACAAGCTCTGTGAAAGTTGGCCGTTCTTTGGGATCAACATGCCAGCAGTCAAGTAATGTTTGATAACTAGAACAGATCCAACAAACAATTAATTGTTTGACTTTAAAATAAATAATGATGTTAATTATGTTTTTAGTGGTATTGTAAAATAAATTTTAGGTGGCATCGTTAAATATTATGTCCTGAAATGGATGTAATTTTTACAGTGATTTGTCTAAGGAGGAGTCTATTTTAATTCTGAGGAGCAGTCGTACTGGACACAAACCATTAACTCTGTTTCCCTCTCCTAAGATCCTGCCAGACCTACTGAGTTTCTCCATCATTCTCTGTTTGTTTCCAGGGTCCGCATTATTTTGTTTTTGGTTTATTTTAAGTTGAGTTTAGTATTAATTGAGGTTCCCTTATGTGGATGACATTAAAATGTTGGAGAAAATCTGCTACATAGCACTACATAGGAACACGAGTCAGTCATTCAGTCTGTTCTGCCATTCAATTAAATCCTGGCTGACCTACACCACAATTTTATTTACTCACCTATGCTTCATACCTCAGTTTTGAGATGTTCAATTGACCAGGGCCAAATTTTGGCAACTGGAGTAGGTACTTAAATTGGAAAATTTCCGGACTCCCTGAACTGGCTTCAGAAAGCAGTATCACAAATCATTTGACTTTTGCTTGGGGAAATGACTGTACAGACCTAATTACCATAGAGGCAGAGTGTAAAAGGCCATCGGGATAGTCAAATGCTGAGGCAGACTGGTTAGAGTTCCTGCCTCAGTTCTCAGAAGCAGTTAAGCCCTCTAACACTTACTGTCACAATCTTCCTCATCCCTAACTAACCCCACGGCCCCTCATACCACCCATGCTGTCTCCAAAGTCAGTCACTAATATCCAGCATTGGCAGAACTCAGGAACCACGTGCAGACGAAAACAAAACTTACAATGAAATATAGCTGTCACTTCTGACACATTTGATAGTGAAAAAATCCAATGCTGTATCAATTTCAAGCAGTTAATTTATATGAAAACAAACTCTTTTTCTGTCCATAGATAAAAGAGCTAACAGCTAGATTGAACTGTCAACTTTGAACTCAGAACACTCTGCTGGGATAAACCACATTTTGATACTCAGCCAAATATTCATAGCAACAAAATGGTAGCTTTTAGGAAAACGTCAAAGACCTTGATTGAAGTTATATGATCAAATACTGAAATAATTTTCTAACCTGTGTCTGTTGGCCTATTAATCAAAACAATCCAGAACACTTTTTAACAAACTCTCACTTTTTTAGTTAAAGAGCAGGGGATTTTAAAAGTCTTCTTATTAAGACAGAGAAACAGACTTACTTACCCTTCAAGAATAAGTGTTTTTGTCTACTCCCTCAAATCGTGACTCCCACAGTGTGCACTAAGGCCCTTGCAACCACCTAAATGGGGTTTATTTTAACATAGCACTAAATCCAATGGCCTTGTTGAGTTCAAGTGTCTCTCTTACATGATTCACATTCCTAATTTCAGCAACTCTTTGAAGGGGAGAATTACAGGTTTTCACTATTCTTTGTGTGAAAATGTACTTTCTGCTATCAAGCTTCTAATTTTAATGTTGGCCATTTGTTTCAATTTCCCTTTGAATTTAAGGAGGGTTGAGAATTAAACAGTAGTAAGTAATGTGTTGGAATGGTTAAGTCTAAAGATGACACAGACATATAGATTCTTAGTTGCAGAACATAATGAAGCATTTCTCCCCTCATAAACTCACTAAACTTGAACATAATGCTTATCCATTGTGAATCAAATTGTTTCATCTACAAGCACAGAGACTGGTCCTGAGGAGCCAGCAGGACCTGCAATATCAGCAACGTGGAATTGGAAGCAGCAGCAAGAAAAGAGAAGCAAGTGAAAAGTGAAGAAACCAAGAAAACCTTAATGTGGGTGATTGCCAATGGAGACCATGGGATGAAGACTAATGATATTCACTGGAAGATCCAAGAGAGGAAGGAGGATTCTTTTAAGGGGGACCAATAGGTTGTGGAACACTTGACCATGAGTGGAATATTTTTGTAGATTAGGATATCATTTAAAAGGAATGGGGTGCATATTGGAAATGGAAGAATCAATTAGAAGGCATGGAATCACAAGAGAGAGCTTCACTGGGGATGGTCCTAAACCTACTCCTAACTTTTCAATCATTCTCTGAAAACTCTCCTTTATTGAGTCTAACCACAGGGAATATTAAGACTGAACACAGTTTAGGATGATGTGCAGTGTGATAAGTGCCCCAAAACCAAACTGCTGATCTATATTTTCTCTTGGTTTAGTTCAGAAAAGCCACAATGACTTCTATTTGAACACACTATTAGTGCATTTTAAATTATTTTAATCTGTTTGTATTTTGAATTCCCCATTCCTATCTACCCCCCCAACAACCTTTTATTCCCTTGTTTAACAAGAATCAATCTACCTTCACCTTAGAATTATTCAATAACCCTAGCCCTAACTACTAGCTGAGGCAAAGAGTACCAAAATCACATGACCCTCAGAGGAAAAAAAAAATCCCTAATCTCTGTCCTAAAAGGGCAACACTTAAAATTTGAACAGTGCTGCTCCTGGTTTTTAAACAGTGCCCCTTAGAGGACACATCCTTTCCATATCAAGTCTATTCAGGACCAATCAAGTTATCCCTCAGTCCTCTAAAGTCCAATGGAAGCAGATCCATTCTGTCGGACCTATCTTTATAAGATTACCTGCAGGTCCAGGTATCAATCTAGTATACCTCCCCTGAACTGCCTCCAATGCCATTTCTTAAGTAAAGAAACCAAAATGGTATTCAATATTCAAGATGTGGTCAAACCACTTGCCTTGTATAACTGAAACATAACCTCTTACTTTTAAGTGGAATTCCTCTCGTAATAAAGGATAGCATTCCATTAGCCTTCTTGATTATAAGCTGTACTAACTTTTGCAGCTCATGCACTAGATATCCTCTATTCTTCAGAATTCTGCAGTCTCTCTCTTTGTCTTTATTTTGACCACTCACTCAACCTACCTTTGTCCATCTGCATGCTCCATATATGCTTTTCACAACATACTTTCCTATCTACCTGTGTCATCTGCAAATTTAGAATCTTAGACTCCCCATACTGCAGATAGAAGCCATTTGGCCATCAAGTCTGCACCGACTCCCTAAAGAGCATCCCACCAGACCCCATGATCCCACATTTACCATGACTATTCCTCCTAGCCTGCACATCCCAGTAGACAATGGGCAATTTAGCATAGCCAATTCACCTATCCTGTACATTTTTGGATTATGGGAGGAAACCAGAGCACCTGGTGAAAACCCACGCAGACACAGGAAGAATGTTCACACTCCATGTAGACAGTCACTCAAATCTAGAATCAAACCTAGGTTCCTGGCATTGTGATATAGCAGTGCTAAACATTGTGCCATTGTGCTGCCCTTTAGCTACCATGTCTTTGCTTCCCTCAACTGAAGCATTGATATAAATTATACAAAGTTGAAGCCAAAGCACAGACCTCCAGGGAACTCCATTCATCACATCCTCTCCATTTGTGCATACTGTCTGTATTCTACCAGCCAGCCAATCTTCTATCCATGTTAATATGTTACACTCTACTCAATCAGCTCCTAATCTGTGCAATGACCTTTTATGTGGCACCTTGTCAAATGCCTTCTGGAATTTCAAGTACAGAATGTCCACAGGTTCCCCTTTATCCACATCACATGTTACCCCTTCAAACAACTCCAAAACATTGGTAAAGCATGTTTTCCCTTTGACAAAGCCATACTCACACTTCCTGATTACCTTGGGTTTTTCTAAAGTACCCAGCTATAAACTCCTTAATTACTCACAGTAGTCGCCAAGCTAACTAACTTATAGATTTCTGTTTTTTGCCCTCTTCCTTCTGGAATAGAGGTCTTATATTTGCCACATTCCAGTCTCATGGAATCTTTGCACAACTAGCAAATTTTTGAAAATTGACAGCAACAGATCTATAAATCTCATTAGTCACATCTTATAAGGTTTTGAGATGATGTCCATTAGGACACAAGGTCTTATCAGCTCATAGCTCCATCGGTTTGCTCAGTACCATTTCCCTAGTGATTATATTTTCACCAAGTTGCTCTATCTCTTCCACCTCCTGATGTATAGTTTTTACTGGAAATTTTTTGTATCCTCGATAATGAAAACAGAAACAAAATATTTGTTCATTTCATCCACCATTTCCTTTTATCTACAACTCCCTATCCTCACTCTGAGGACCAACACTCATTCTAGTTAATCTTTTCCTTTTTAAATACCTGTAGAAAATTTTGCTACTAGCTTTTACATTCCTTGCTAGCTTCCTCTCATATGCTAATTTCTTTCTCCTGATTAATCTTCTGGCCATTCTCCAACATTCTTTATATTGTATCAATCACTGAACAATCATTCATCTTCGTGCAATATGTTTTTGTCTTAAACTAATGCTTTCCTTCACTTCTTTAATTAACCAGGGATGGTGGCTCCTTTTCTTTGTAGTATGAATATACTTATTTGACATATTTTAAATATCCCTTTGAAGGTCTGCCACTGCTTCTCTTTTGATTTGTCCCCCAGCCTAATATCCCAGTTCACCTCAGCTAGCTTATCTTCATTGCCCACATTGTTCGCTTATTTAGGTTGAAAATATTAGTCTTAGACCAGATGTTAAATCCAATCATATTGTGGTCCCTGTCACCTAAGGGTGCCTTTACTCTCAGGTACCTTTACTCTCAGGTACCTAATTACACAATATCAAAATTAGTATAAACTGCTCTCCGGTCAGTTCTAGAACATGCTGCTGCCCTAAGGAGCTATCTCAAAAGTATCCTATGAACTCTTCATTCAGATTACCATTACATATAAACTAGAAAAGGCAGAAGAGCCAATTAAAATGACCCGTGACTTTTGCTTTCGCCTGCATTACCACCACCCAACCAATGTTGTGGTTAGTTAGGGGCCCTGTGGACATTTCCTAACAGTGAATTCCTTCCACTCCTATTTTTCTTCTCTACCCAAATCATTTCTCCATCCTGATTAGCTAAACCAAGATTATGTCTACTGCACCAATTTGATCCTTATGCCACTGAGTAAAATAACAGGCTCCAATGACAACACTGGAATCTGATCGGCCGCTTCAAAGAGGGACCCTGCCACTTTCCAGCAACCTTCTTTCCTACCTTCTGAGAGCAGGTCAAAATGAAAGATTGTAGGAAGGGAGCAGGATATCGAAGGGTAAATTGTCTGAGCAATTTCAACTTCCCACCTACCTAGCTTCCATCATCACTACAGTCTTTCTGCTTTGATCACTAACTCCAGTACTTCCTTCCATGTTCTCTGTATAATTAACAATTTCTACTGTTCTCTGCCGTAAATGTCTTTCATTTGATCTTATAATTACATTTCTTCATTGTCTACTTATTAAACCCTTGTATTTATATAGCACCTTTCACATCCACCAGATCGTCCAAATTTCAGTCAATTAAATAGCTTGAAGTTTACAATGTGGAGTATGCAGCCCACAAATAGCAAAGTGACAATGACCAGATAGACCTATATTCATCAAGTTGATTGTGGGACAAATATTGGCCAAGAAACTGTGGCTAACGCCCCTCTTTTCTTTCAGAATATTAGAGATGTGGCCATTTATGTCCACTTTTTAGGCCAGACAGGGCCTCAGTTTAATGCCTCACCTGAAATATGGCAGTATCAACTTCCTCAGCACTGCACTGCAATGCCAGCTTAAATTGTTGTGCTTGGGTTCTGTCGTGGAACTTAAATACATAAACTCCTTATTCAGAGGTGCAGTACTACTAAATAAGGCACTGTTCACGCTGCAGCGCTGAGACTTGTTTGCTGCTTTCTGATCTGTTGCAACCTTTCATTATTATAGTCATGACTATTAAATCACTCAACATAACCACTGTGTTTTAACGAATACAACATGAATCTTTGATGTTGCAGAAGAAACTTAACTTGCTGCTTCAAAAACAGAAATTGCTGGAAAAACACAGCAAATCCGGCAGCATCTGTGGAGAGAAAGCAAAATCAATATTTCAGGTCCAATGACCGTTCTTCAGAACATATTCTGCCTTCTCTCCCCAGATGGTGCCAGACCTCTGAATTTTTCCAGCAAATGCTGTTTTTGTTTCTGATTTCCAGCATCCACAGTTTGATATTTTGAAACTTTTTGTTAATTCATTTAGCAGGTAGTTACCGATAATTTAACTATAATACATATGCATTATAATCAGGATTATTTTTATTGGTTTTCCAACAGTCTCTCACATGCAGATGTATAACGTGCTCAAACAGTAAATTAATGATATAATTTCTACCTTTGTCAATTGTTAATTCATTAGAACCATTCAGTAATAAGGTCCCATCACATAATCAGACAGGTTTTAGTGAGTACAAATGTTGAATTTCTGTTCAAAGGACAGTTGTGAATCAGTGGTTATATCTTGCAACTATCAGGATGTGAGGTGTGACCTTGTTTTTTCCAGTTTCGAAAATCCTGTATTTCTACCAGTCAACTTACATTTCTGGAGTTGAATATTCAGGAGCTCGCATCCTTGTGCCCTCTCTCAGTCGTCTGCAAAAATCTTCATCAATCTGAACTCCTGGGTATGGTGATGCTCCTGAATTCAACATGCAGATAAATTCTTATTTGAAATAAAGCTACAAGAGTCACATCTAATTCTGTCATTTCCACCATGAATATAGCTGATAAGAATACTGTGCTAAGTGAGAGCTGCTTGTGAAGATTACCTTTGGACTGATTTTTTTTCCAGTGTCAGATCTGACAAGGAAATGGATGTGAGTAAAATTAGCAGGAGGGTAACAGAAATGTCAAAATCACACATCAAGAAAATATGCAGATGTTTGGTGCAGGGAACTTATTGAATTTCAAGAATCCAATATAGAAAATATCAAGAAATAATGCATCCTCACAGTTTAATACAGGTATGTACCACTCAAAGTCTTACTCTTGTGACTTGTACACACCAGCCTATAAAACTCAAGAGTTGACAAATGACTGTAAAATAGAATTTTACAGGCAGAATTTTAAGGTGATTGGAGGAAGGTATAGGGGAGATGTCAGAGGTAGGTTCTTTACACAGACAGTGGTGGGTGCGTGGAATGTGCTGCCGGTGGTGGTAGTGGAGTCAGATACATTAGGGACATTTAAGTGCTTCTTGGATAGGCGCATGGATGATAGTAAAATGTAGGGTATGCAGGGTAGTTTGATCTTGGAGTAGGATAATAGGTCAGCACAACATCATGGGCTGAAGGGCCGGTACTGTGCTGTAGTGTTCTATGTTCTAGAAGGCAACTTAAATACAATACACAAAATACTAGCAGTCCTGAATAAAGGCCTAGGACCAGGTCCACTGCATCAAGACAACTAAATAATTGAAAATCCTATGCAGCATATTGAATTCCAGAATTTGAGTCATGTTTTGGCTGCATGCAGCAAAATTGTTTTCCATGACATCTTACTTATGACATGCAAAGCAGCAGCCAGACATGATCTTGCTATTTCTTAAACTTGTCATGGCTTACACTACAACTATATTCAATATTCCGCCTGCTATACTCAAAAGCGTTAATGAATACAGTTATTAACCAGCTGCTTTTGCCCAGCACAGCAGCCACCTTCATTTGGACCTATCTTGAGGTATTTACTAAAACGTCTTATCTGGCTCCAAGTCATTTTGAACATATAATGGTTTCTGTCAATACAGAGGATTGTTGTAGAATGAATCATCATTATTCTTCACCTTAAAATGACAAACATTGACTGGCAGCTCCTATCATCCAATCCCAATCAGGTTTGAATCATGATCCTGTACTGCAGACCAATAGGAAATGAAACCCAGGAAACAGTAGACCAAATTAGGGCATCTAGGAAACTTCAGGAATGGATTGAGTAAACCAAACCCTGGGAGATGGTTACATGAAGGGTACTGAATACCTGGATACACAGGAAAAGGAAAGAATCAAAAACTCTTGGATTTCTAATTGTATCCTATGGCTTAGTTCATTTGATCATTCCACAAATACTTCTATAATTTCTACCGTTCATCCCAAAAGTACTTCAGTATCTACTCTCCATTGATTAATTATGAACATCCATGGGTTAGGCCAAATAGCTAACCCAGGTCATAGCACTGGATGATTCAAGCCACAGTCAATGCACGTCATTTTAAAATAGGGAATAAGGGACTTATGTCACACAAAATAACCCAAATGCCAGAAGTTGCTCTATTTATCAGGCATAAAAGCTATTTTAGTCGGTGTTAAGTTGGAGGAAACAGCTGATTTTCTGCTTAAAATGCAAACAGCTATCAATAATGCATTGCAATACAGAACTGACTGTCAGAATTAATAAATGATCAACATGTATAATAACGCATTACTCTGTACAATGTATTGAACTTAGATTTTGAATTATTTACTACTTATATTCAGTCCAGCTATTAAAATATTCTTTATATTTTGTTGGAAGGGGCCTTAAAATTCAAAGGCTTTTAATCTGTCCATGTACTAGCTTCAGCTCATCAGGTATTTCTTCCAATGTTTCATTTAAGTATTTTCAATTGGAGACCACACCCTTTTCGTTCATAACCAGACAAATTAGAGGGGTTAGCATTTCACAGTCCCTTAACTTCATGCAGGCAACATTTAACATGGTCAGTAGCTATGAAATGGTATATTCAACTTCTGTGCTAATCGCTGAATCTCTAACTGTGCTCCAAAAATTGGAACCTACTGTTCCACTGTGCCAAAAGGCTAATGTTTAATAGAAAATGGAAAACATGGACTTGATATAATGGTTGTATGCCATGGAAATATTTTTGGTAGAATTCAATGGTTTCCATAATTTTTTGAACTAACAAAAATCATAAATGAAATGACAGGAATGGTTCTCAGATATGAATTGTACTTGGTTCTGGGATCTGGTTCATCAAAATTCTTTTCTCATCTTTTATCCTTCATATCATCAATTCTGATTGACCCCAAATTTTAAATGATTGGATTTTCTGATGAACTTGCTACTTTCACAAAGGGATGGAATTTAATACAGATCAAAATATAAGCAATAAAGTGCAGTAACACACTAGTAGCATCTGTAAAATGAAAACACAGGCTAACTTTTAAAATCCAGAGCGCTTTTATGCCCATGCATCCTTACCTCCTTCCTTGGCTTTGCGTTTATTTCTTTCCACGTATCTGCTTCAAAAGTTTCTCCACAGTAAAGGTGAGATATAAATAAAAACTCTTTTTACTGCTATAACTGACTAGACTTGCATTTGAGGTGTTAATCTATCTTTTCCCTTTGAGGGTGTTTATGAAGCTTCTGCCTCATTCCTGTCTCCTTCCCACATCTGCCACTGCTAAATAAGCAGTAAATGCAGTTCGTAGTCAGTTAAGTATTTTGCACATTAAACTTGCAATGTGTGTATGTTTCTACACCAGTTCATGGCAACAAATTAGGAGCCATCACAACACTGTGACTCTAACCTAGGAATCAAAAACCTATTTGTACAAGTAAACTTATCTTCCTTTAAAATGAATATCCTTGCATGTCATTATGTCATCCTGAAGTATCCTGTGTTCTGTTGTCAGCGATATACGTAGATATTATGACATACCTAAGGAAAATATTTCCCACAGCAAAACTCCATAAGACCAGACATCACTTTGAGTATTGTAGATTTTGTCAAATATAGATTCAGGGGCCATCCATTTGAGAGGGAGCCTTGCCTGTAAATAATGATGAATAAAAATTATTGAATTGACTAGCTTCTTAACTAAGTTCACTTTTAGTTGTCACTTTACATGCAATGTCATTAAATGAACTTACATCTCCCTTTCGTACATAATCAGGATCTTTGTAAATATCTCGTGCAAGTCCGAAGTCACAAATCTTAACTACATTGTTCTCAGATAAAAGGACGTTTCTTGCTGCCAGATCTCGATGGATGCACTGTAATAAAAGAGTTGCACTCTCAAAACTCATTTCCTCAATCTTTCCCATGAATTTCCTGACATCATTATTTATACCAAAGTTTTTTTAGTAAAACCTCTTCCTTAATGATCCAAAAAATAATAATTTAACAATTTTCCTGGGGAAATAAGTAGGAAGTCTGCTCGAGTTCCTTAGAACATGCGTAAGAAATGTACTTGTTTTCAGAAATCACAGCTTGAAAGCAAGTCATTAAATGTAATAATCATGCAATGTAGGTCTGGATGTGAGGAAGAGCTGGCGTCACGTGTTGAGTCTCACAATGTGCCTTTAAGTGTGTCAACTTGGTTTACTTAAATGTTCCAAATTGGCATGTGGACAACAGGTAAGAAAACAAATGAAAATATTTGCACTCTGATCTTTCCATGACGCTTTCATAGTAGTTCACAACAAAGCACGGGATCTCCAGCACATGATAAAAAGCAATGATACTGGATAATAGAGAATATACAGAGCCGGGCATGGTATCACTGTACTGCCTATTAACTTCTTAACTATACTAACTAAATTAGAGAGGAGAGAGCTACATCTTCAGATTTGCTCCAAACTACTGTGAGATCCGTAGGTACATGATAATAAATTATTTATTAGCTAAGATTTCTAAAATGAAAGTTATAAATGCTGAATACATTATAGATCAATATATAATGTTTCACTTGAGATGTTTATTCATATTTGTTTACTTGTAGCACTTCTGTTTTTAATTTTATGATTTTATTAAAAGGTTACTATATTGATTAGTCAGTTAAAAATTTATATATTTCAATGAGATAGTTAATATATAACAGGCTACTATTAATGTTGGTATTCTTAAAGCCTTACAGCATTTTAAAGAGTAGATTTTCAACACAGAATTTTTAAAATTAATATGCATTTTTGTCAACTATTTAATTAATTATAAGCCATATTTGTTGGGCGAATAGAATTCCTGAACTTTTGGTACTGAACTTTGCTCCATGTCACACTTACATGTCAGCATCACAGTGTTCAATACCAATCATGACTAGTCAGTTTGTGCTCGTATGCAGCAAGATCTGGACAACATTCAGGCATGGGCTTAAAAGTGTCATATGTAGCACAAATGCTATAAATTCCAGGGAATGAGCAAACCCTAAAAAGAATCTAAACATTCAGCTGCACTACCATTACTGGTTTTCTCAGTTTCAACATCCTGGAGCTTATTATTTACCAGAAACTTTATTGAACCAGGAGGGAATTCTACATAGCGTACTGACCTCCCTAGTTGCATCGACTATCTAGAAGATACAAATCTAGAGTGTAATGAAATGCTTTCCATGTGCCTGGATGAGTGCCCTCCAACAATGTCAAGAAGTTCAACACCACCCAGAGCAAAGCAACCTGCTTGATCAGCGTCCCATCCAACATCAACACATACAAGCTGCAGTGTGTGCTTTCTACAAGATGCACTGCAGCAACCCAGCAAGCCTTCTTTGACTGAAATTTACAAACCCATGATCACTGCCATTTACAAAGATTAGGGCAGCGGATGCATGAGAAGAACCACTATCTCTAAACCACAATCTATCAAAACTTGGAAATATATGGCCATTCCTTCACTATTATTGGGTGAAAAACTTAGAACTCCCTCCCTAACAGTACCCTAAGTGTATTTACACCATCTGGACTGCAGAGGTTCAATGACAGGGCCAACGACACTTCCTTATTAGGGATATAAAACAAATGGTCTTGCCACATTCACATTCAACAAACAAATTATTTTAAAATGTGTTTTGGAATTATTAAGGCCTCTTGTTCATATGTTTCGATTCAGTAGCTATTGCATTTGATCTTTCCATTTTAAATTGAAACATTCAGATTTTGTAAATATTTTTAAAATAATATTTTTAAGAACCAGTTATGTGAATGAGTTCAAACTTTTCTCATTCCACTGACACAGCATCTGTAGTATGATGTTTGTTCATACCATATAATTTAAACTCAGAGTACTATCAGAAAAAGGTAATCGCGCATTACCATGTCAAATTGTAACATAGCAAAGGGCAAGTTGAAAACTAATTTGTTTATTTAAAATAAAATCATGAATCAATATTCATTAGATCATTGAAATAAAAGCAAATAACTGTGAAGCTAGCGATCTGAAATAAAAGCAGAAAGTGCTGAAGAAACTCAACAGGTCTGGCAGCATCTGCAGAGAGGGAACAGAGCGAGCATTTTGAGTCCCAGTGACGCTTAGATCATAGAATCCCTACAGTGTGGAAAGAGGCCCTTTGGCCCAACAAGTCCACACCAACTACCAGAGCATCCCACCCAGACCCATCCCCCTATAAACCCACCTAATCTACACATCCCTAAATACTATGGGCAATTTAATCCACCTAGTCTGCACATCTTTGGACTGTGGGAGGAAACCGGAGCACCTGGAGGAAACCCACATGGATACAGGGAGAACGTGCAAACTCCACACAGACAGTCACCCGAAGGTGGAATTGAACCCGGGTCCCTAGCACTGTGAGGTAGCAGTACTAATCACTGAGCCATCGTGCTGCCCCAGCACTTCTCTAGCACAAAAACAGAAATTGCTGTAAAGCTCTGAAGAAGGATCACAGGACCCTAAATGTTAATTGTGACTTCCCTTCCACAAATGCTGCTGAGTTTTTCAGCAATTTCTGTTTTTCTTTTTGTTATCTAGTTTATTATAACGTTCGGGTTTTGCTACCTTGGATCAATCTTTAGGTTATTGTGACAGATTAGAAAAGTGGCAAGAAATTATTCGTAATCTCAGTCAACCTGTGTTTCAGAATTTCTCTTAGCATTGTATTCAAACCTTTCTTGATGCCAGGAATTCCATGCCTCGGGCCACCTGGAAACTGTAACTGATCAGGTCCTCCATGGTAATTGGTCCTTTGTACAAGTCATCAGTATCTACAAAATTTTTTTTAAGAAGAGAATTTTAATGTTAACTTTTGAATTATTTCTACAATCAGTGGTTCAATAATAAAAGAGTTACAATACCAGGTAAAAGCTGTAAGATTTAACTCTATAGTGTATCTGCAAACTTTAAGTTACTATTCTGAAGAAAATAAATTAGTGGTTATCTGTAAATGAACAGGGGGTAGGCCAGCAGAGAAACCTCACCAATTCCATTGTATGCCATTGTTTCATTGAACCAGGATGTGAGCAAAAATAATTCTGATGCAATGTTCAGGCATCACTTTATTTCCTTTTCTCCACTGATGAGAGTTTGACCTGCTGGGTGGTACCAACATTTCTGGGTTTTGTTTCAGATTTCAAGCCTTTGTGGTTTGTTATGTCATGGCCAACAATAACATTGGTTTGGTTGATTTAACTGGAAACATGGGGTCAACATTACCAATTCAAAGTATTCAAACATACTTTTGACGTGCTCCCATAAATGTGAACATGGTGGTTCACAACAGCAACAACTAAATCCTTCTCAGCCATTCAATAGTGATTTACAAGCACTATTGCTTTTTATCCTCTCCAGTATTCCTGGAGGCTGTAAATCAGAACTGAACAGAAAGAATTGATTCTTAACATGCTCTTTTGCAATGGAATTTCCTTTTAGCAGTTCTGACAATATTTTCATCACCATCAAAGTGGCAAGCAAACAAAAGCTTAGGGTCATACTTGCAAAGCATTTTTATTAATTAGCTTAAGCAGAGAGTGTCATGTATAAATCAACTAGATTTGTGACACCCACTGCTTTAGACTCAAAACATGGAGGTTAGCACTAATCAAAATGGCTGGTAATCAATATCATCTATTTCACTGCTTTCAGAGTTTGAACTCATTTCATTTTTTGATAGAAATAGTACAGGTTAAAGTATATTGAAGCGCAAGTTTTCTCAAAACTTTCAGATATTTGCAAGCATGTAATGTGTAATTTGAGAAGGATAAAATTACAGTATATATTCTGGCAGACCCAATGAGGAGGTATCATCAACATGGGAATTTTCTCCAGAATATTGTCATCACTGACAGTCTGTTGATTTGGTGAGTTACTGCAGTAAAACCTCAGATCATGTGGTGAATTTCCAGCCAAAATTGGCAGCAGCAAAGTTGCAGTATTGCTGATGTTTGTTAACTCCCTTTCACCTCACAGAGGTGATTAGTGGCAAAATAATAAGGTGAGGTTTCCTCCCTAATGTTCTGAAAACCTCGAGATAATCTGATAAGAAATATAATTGTCATTCATAGCACACCATGTATTTTTATTCCTTCCCAAAACTGAAAGGTGTGCCTCCTCCTATTAAGAATATCCCACGGATGTTTATTACATAGATAATCAGCAAGGACATCAAAGATACTCAGTCCAGTGTAAAAATAACTTTGAAGGCTGTAAATCAGGAAGGAATCAGTTCATACCCTCCTCTTCCTCTTCAACATCACTTAGAGTTTTGTCTTCATCAAACCCAGAACTTGTGGAGCTCTCAGAGCTTGTGACGCTAGCCAGCCTTTTCTTTTTACCCTCCATGGAGGTCTTTTCTTGAATGGGGTCAGCCTGCAGTGTAGTTTCCTATGCAGATGGAGCACATGAAGAAAGCTTAGAAAAAACAATATGTTTTGAATAAAAACAGCAGCTCTTTACTAGAGCAAAATCTTACATTTTCTTATGTTTTACCCTCTGCCCATCACCTTCTAGCTCACTCTGCAGCCAATTGAAACAGTTATATAGAGGTCTAATTCCTTTAGTAGTGTTGGTTCTAAATCATTGAAAGGAGCTAATGTTAGGAAGGTAAATACAGTTTTTAGAAAGTGAATACGCGATACAAGTGACTGTATAATTTCACAAGATAAACAACTTTAACCCTAACCCTACCTAATAGAGTGAAATTAGCATTTTTTTCAGCATCACTGAAGGATTTTTAGTTGTGGGGCACAAAAGACTTGACAAAACCTAATTTCAAGTCTAATGTTGTGAACCCCTCAGGAGGCCAGCAAAATGTCCCATCTGGAAATTGGTTGGATCCTATTTGAGATGTCCAAGAAAATCTCCTAGAAAGGGATGTTGCCTGGGCTGGAGGAGCTGCAATATGAGGGACGATCAGATAGGCTGGGTTTGTTTTCCTTGGACCAATGAATGTTGAGGGGAGATCTGATAGACGCTTACAGGTCGGGCATCCTTTGTCTGAAAACCTTGTTTGCCAGACAAAAGATATTTTTGGTTCTCAGATAAATTTACCCGTTACAATCATTTGGACAAAAAGCTTTGCTTTGCTAGAACGGACCTGAATGGATCTAAAAAGCAAAGTTTTTTCCAAAGAACCTGAACTCAGTGAGTTTATTCGGGTCCACTTTCGCTAAGATCTTTGGTTCCTTGGTCTTTTCAGTTTTTGTACATGCGGATAAAGGATAGCTGGCCTGCCGAGGATTGTGAGGGGCATTGATCTGGTGGATAGGAAGGGACATTTCCCATTAGTAGAGGATTCAATACCAGCAAGCACCAATTTAAGGCAAAAAGGTAGTGGCTAAGAAGAGAGTTGTGAAAAATTTTTTTCACCCAGAGGTTGGTAGGGGTCTGCCTTGCTCACTGCCTGAAAGGGTGGTTAAGTCAGAAACTCTCGTAATATTTGAGCAGTATTTATATATTTACTTGCATTGCCATGTATAGGCTAAGAGCTAATGGATTGGTATGGTCAGATTTTTGATGACTGGTGCAGAAAAATGAGCTGAATGGTGTCCTCCTGTGCTGCAGGCGTCTCTGAGTCTTTATATATACAAATGATGGGCTTGTGATTTTGGGATGCCTTGAGTACAGTGGGTGTAAGGCTTGCACTGCTACATTTTTCTAGATGTATATGTGTCACAGGCAGTTTAATTTTTGTTTTAAATTAATATGGAGCCGGAAGGATGAGGAGAGACTAATCCCCTAGATATTTGGATAAGGCTGAGCATAGTTTTTCCCCAGTCTTTATACGCATGCCATTGGGTGCAGGGATTTTACCCTGTGACAATTTGATGCCTGAAAGCAGCCTAAACAAATTCTAGTCCTGTTTCTCAAAATGGTGTGACACACATTCTGGGATACTCTTCTACATGAGATGGTAGTGAATTCCTGCTCATGCCAATAGCAAATGTTAAATATATAAAGCAAATATTGTCCTTCAGTCATCCCTTGTTATTATATTTTCAGTTTCAAAATTTCTGGTAAGTGGCAACCTAGAAACAAATACATCATGGAGAATTCACCTGCTGTGCAAAAACATACAACCTGTGGACATCTATTTCAAATCACAACATGGGATCTCAGTAGTTCAGTATTAAAAATAAAGATCTTTAAGGTACAATCACCTTGTGCAGCACAAAGTTATTTCTCTTGCTCTTGAGATAGTTGGAGAGGTTGCCATATTTACAATATTCAACAATTACCATCAAAGGACCTATAAATAGAAAAATGAGACATAATGTAAATCAATATAACTCTTAAAAACAATTCCTTGGAATAAGACATTGACTAATTCTCTAAGTTTGTTATCCTAACTACTGTTTGTGTGGTTTAGCAAGTTAGAAATATTCTCCTTGAGGTTTGATAACTTGCAAAATAGAGAGGCTTTCTACCTCCTTCACAAATTTAATTAATTTCTCAAGAAAAAAAACTGTTTCAAAAATATATTTTTAGAAACTTAAAGTTCAACATTTGGTGCCTTGACAGGTCTTTCCCAATGCGTGATAATTTTGAGCCTGAATGCTGATTCATGAAGTTTCCTAATCCGACTTCTACTCTCAGTATCCTCAGCTGCTCATCTTTGAAGCAGAACTGGGCAAGTTTCTGGGTTCAGAATCTAAGCAAAGAAATTTTTTATTAATGCTTTATCTGAAATGGATTGTGAAACTCAAGGCATTTTTTGAGAAGCCAACAATCTACTTTGGATAATGTAAAAATAACAAATTTGCCTTATATGGTATTTTTAAATGAGGGGCTTGAAATCTAAGAAGCAGTAGTTAATCTTTCATTGTGAAAATTTGATTCTGTTTTCTTACATGTAAAGAGGGACAGATATGAAACAAGTGTGCTCTAAACTGAATGTTCTCGGTAGGTGAGTGAAATCATGACCTAAGAGGTATATATCAAGTGATTTGAAACAAACCATCTTAGAGACCAATTAAAATGGAAACATCACCCCCAACTTTTGGGGTCGAGCCTAATATGCTGGTGATCTGAATATTAACAATAAGTACTGCAGACATGAGGACAGAGAGTTTATCAGGCAACTGAATGTTTGTGGATATGGCGCCAAACTAAAGAACTCACTTGGTGACACCACATCCACAAACATTCACTCCCTTCACCAATGCTCAGTAGTAGCAGTGTGTGCTATCTACAGCATGCATTGTAACATTTTACCAAGACTCCTTGGACAGCACATTCTAAACCTGCAACCACTACCAACTAGGAGGATAAGGGCAGCAGATGCATGGAAACACCATAAACTGCAAGATCGCCTTCAAGCTACTCACCATCCTGAGTTGGAAATGTGTTATTGTTCTTTCACAGTTACTAGGTCAAAATCCTGGAACTCCCTCTCTAATGACATTGCGTGCTTAACCACACCAAGCAGTCTGCAGTGGTTCAAGAGGCAGCTCATGACCACCTTCTCAAGGGCAACTAAGTATAGGCAATAAACGCTTGATAAATCCAGCTAGAAAGCCCAAATGCCCTGAATGAATTTAAAAAAAAACTCAAATCTGGTCACGGTCACCAGCCCCACAAAATCATTCAAGCTACAAAGTCTAGGTCAGTGCTAGAGGAGACTGATGACTCTAGTTTAACCACCAAGACCGTGACCTGAAGAAGTTCAGTGCTTAGATATGGGCAAGAGATTTGGGAATTTTTCACATCAGTATTGAAGGGCCATATTTTAGAGCTCACACATTTCATTATTGTTGTTAATATGCTTCATAATTTCAAATTGTGATTCCAAATGCTGAAGTCTTGATTGCATAGATAGTGATAAAGGAGAAAATAATAATTCTGACATCCTGGATATGATTTCCCATGGTAATCTCCCATCCCCTTTTCTTCATAGGCCTGACCTGATGCATTAAAAAGGACATGAGGTGACCTAAAGAACTCTGGATCTGCTCACCCCTCCAGTCTGGTTTCCATTCTTCACTTCAATGTTTGCATGGTGTTGAACTATTCAACAGAACTGGGATTGAGAGCAAATAAGCAAAACTGGACCTGAAAACTAAAGTGCATCCAAAATAATTCCCAGTACTCTTCAAATAATATTTTCTATGTTCACACTGCGAAGTGGGAGAAATTGGCCACGGGGAGTAGATTGAACAGGGGTCTGGTTTTACACCCCAAGCAATCCTCTTTCCATAGAAGTGAAGGGAAACCACACATCAACTACATGTAATTTTTTGGAAAATATTTTAATGTAAACCATTGTGTAGAGTCAGGAGGAGTGGAAGTGTTCCTCCAATGTGATATTTCAACTCTCCTCCAAAACTACCACCATATCCTACCTAATCACTCACCTTTGGACACTGCCAGTGAAGTAAGCATCCGACATCAGATGAACAAGCCGCCTACACATCAGATGTTAACTACATCCAGAACACTAATTTCTAAAAGTTACCCTAATAAATTTATCCATAAGCAAAACTAGAATGAGGTAATTATGGAAAGCTGAGGCGAACTACTCCCCTCAAACATCTGCTACAGTATTGCCAAATCTTCATGTTACTGGGTTACTGAAAGAAAAGAAGTATATTGTCAGGAATTCTACCAAAATAGCAGCTTTTTAAAAAGCCAAATGTTTCACAAACGGAAGTGAGGTTTCTTATGTTTGTTGCTTGTAACAAAGAGATGAAAGTTCTTCCCAATTGTTCCACTTACATAGCAAACAGAACAAATCTTCCCCACTGATTTAGTTCACTACAGGTTCTCCTTCTAATAAAGCAAACTAATTTTGAACTCAAACATTATTGAATATTTTGTTTTGTGTTATTAATAAATTTCATTACAATCATAAGGTTACAAACCTCCATGTCTGGTGCATGCTCCTAACAAATTCACCACATTCAGATGATGTCCAATATGAATCAAGATCTTTAGTTCTGACATTAAAGCTTTGTATTCACTGGCTGTTGCCCCCTCTAGGAAGAAAATAATCTTAAATCATTTAAAGAACCATAATAGTAATGTTTAGTTTGGTCATTTTCAAAATCCTGCTGATAAAAATAAATGAAAGTTTCAATTGTTGTCTATAGATATGCAAATGCTAATGCAAATTTGAAACATACACATAAAGAACTGGAAAAATACTGCAATCATCATCAATATTGATGACATTTCCCATTTGCTATTTTTCCATTCTTTAATTTCCTGTCCATAAATGGACATAAACTTCATTTGGCAAACACACAGGACTCTAAATTGCACAGAGGTTCTGCTGCTCTAGATATTTGTTGTTACTGAGAGGTTCCTGGTTGTCAACTTCCCTCCATCCACTGCAAGGCAGATGATGGTCAGGAAGCAAAACAAGGGCTGTTTAGCAACAACATTGCTAGAGGCCATCCAGATTTAACTGTTGCAAATTACAAACTGAAGGATGTGGGGCCAAAATATTTTGCAGCAGAATCTCAAACACTTTCAGACATTTAACTAATAAAGAGTTTTATCCCTTAAATGACAGAAAAGCAAACTGATTCAATATTTATCATTTTTTTTAATTATTGCAATCATTATCACCATCCAGTATGATCAGAATCACATTACCTTTCAGCATTTTAATAGCAACAGTCTTACATGTGGATGATTTATGAATGCCAAAAGCAGAAGCTTCCACAACCTTCCCAAAAGCCCCACGACCAAGAGTTTTACCTGTTGATCAAGACAGGTAAAGACAAGGAGATAATAAAATAAATATTCAAATAATTCAAATACAATTATTTCCATCCTTTCTAAAGTTTACAAAGCAATAATCAGGCTGAGAACACTTGTGTAACAATTCAGCTAAACACTGGTGTTCCAGTGATAGAGTAATATTTGCATAGTCCTCTTCTTGAAATATAGATACCATAACAAAAATCTTAACATATTATCTATGAAGCAATACTTTCATAAGATCTCCAAAGATTTTTCTACCATATTCTTGGATATGGAGAAAGTGGTGGCAGCAATTGTACTAAAAATAGTTACAAGCAAGTTAACATAACAGTAAAGGCAACCACTCGCATATAATTTCATGTATGGATGAGAAATGAACTGAAAATATTTAACTACCCATATTGTTGATTCTTAATTTTTATCAGCTTTTGGGGCAAAGTTTCGCCTTGTTATTTAACAATGATCAGCTTCAGTTCCAATTAAGATAGAGGACAATACCAAGACAAAGTCTATCAGTCAAGCTTTATAAAAACTGACAGTCTCAGGTTCTAATATGTAAAAAAGAAAATGTTTGAATGGTTCTGTTATATTTTGACCGTGAGTGACAATATGTCCAACCTATAAGCAAGAAAGTCTTAATATCAAGAAGATCAAAACACACCTCAGCTATAGGTTCATTCATTATCAAACATAGAGCATAACAAAATTTCAAGAAAGTTATGAAGGCAATGCTATTGTACTCTACCTGAAGTGAATTTCAAAAAACAGTGATGTTATGAATGTATTTGCAACTACCTATTTAGTAGCAATTGTAGTCTAATAAATGGACTATGTCTTCTCTTTGAAAAATAGCAGAATATTAACTTATTGAATTAAGAGGAAATAATTATCAGAGTGTTAATATTTGTCAATGTACCTCCACTGTAACTTTGGGGTAATGGAACGACAGGGAAATTATCTGAGATACAGATTCAGGAGATCCTTCATCATTATTTTTTATATATAAGGCCACGATAATGAGGGACAGGTAACCAATTTGAACTGCTCACAATGTGAATTCCAATGATCTCAATTCCACAGAAAGTTGGGAACATCTTCAGTGGCCAGGACTGAGCACGTTTTGAGGTGTACCAGCTTCTCTGGCTGAAGTCGCTAATCTTGCAATACCTTATTTGCTGCTCATTAACCTTCTAAGGAACAGGGATTCAGTGACACAAGCATACTGAGTACATATTAAAAAAAAAGCTTGGAGCTAAGAATTGAAACTTTATTGTGAATTTAGCAAACTGTCTGCTCTTGATGACAGTGAAAATTTAAGTCAAAGCCAATGTCGTTGTCTTGTCTCCAGTTTATTCATCTTGTGTATATTCTGCTTTGTTTCCGTAGCACCTAGTCACAGAAATTCATAAAACACAGGGAACAACGATGATTCTCACCCAAACAAACAGTCTTTAGAATGTGGTTCTGTTATCAATTTAACTTATAACTTAAGTTTCCTGTCTTAAAATACATGAAGGAACTAACTTTGTTTTGACAAGGAAAACAGTTCAAAGTACTGCTAACTTCAATTAGACACATATATGATTGAGATATGCAATGCAGGTCCTGGGTTCAATTACCTTTCTACTGAGTTAACTGATTCTAACCAAGAAAATAACTGGCTACAGTGCTCTTGGATTAACAAGGGAAAAGTCAGCAATGACTCCCAGTCACAATGATTATCCAGAATAAGATCTGCTGAAAATACATCTTGCATTATCAGGCCTGGGTGTGAATGTACTGCAGAAACTACAGACTGCTGTGGGTTTTTCTGGATTTTACACATAGCGGCTGTATTGCAAGTACACCCCAAAAAAAAAGCCATCACAATTTTGCCCCATGACTCACTATGATCCAAATCTGCCCTGTCCTGCACAGAAGACATGACGATATCTTCCTGAGTTTCCAGCTGTTTAGAAACCCTGTAACTTGCCATGACTATGGGACTGCTAAACATACATGATGGTCTACATTTGGAAAGAGATCATTAGCAGGGAAAATACAAAAATCTATTATTAAGGATGTGATTAATGCTTAGAAAATAATTTCACGATTGGACAGAATCAACATGGAATTATGACAGGTATCATGTTTGAGATTTTTGAGGATGGTTGTGGTGTATTTGGATTTTGAAAGACTTTTGGTCAAGTCCCACACAAAAGGTTAATAAAGAAAATGGAAACAGATGGCAATGGGGGAATATTAGCATAGATTGAGGATTGGTTAACAGCAGAGAGCAAATTATATCAATGATTTGGATATGGAGGTCAACTGTAATATTTCCAAGTTTGCAGATGATATAAAACTTGGTGAGAGTTCTGAGGAGTTTGCTCAAATGCTTCAAGAGGTTCAAAGCAGGTTAAGTGTGGGAACAAAAGCATGGCAGACTGAACATGATGTGGATATGCACGAGGTTATTTCTGAAATAGTGAAAGATTAGAAAGTGTTGATGTCATTGTTCATAAATCATTGAAAAGGCAACACGCAGGTGCAGCAAGAAATTCGGAAGGTAAACAGTATGTTAGTCTTTATCACAATTAAGTACAGGAGCAAATAAGTCATCCTTTAATTAAATAGAATTTGGTGTGACTATGCCTGAAGCATTATGTGCAGGCTGGTCCCCTTGCCCAAGGAAGGATATACTTTCCATCAGGGACCGCAGTGGAGGTTCACTGGACTGATTCCTGGGATGAAGAAGAGTCATATTGAACTTGGAATGTTAACTCTATTCCTCTTTCCACAGATGTAGCCAGACCTGCCGAGTTTCTCTCCAGCATTTTCAGCTTTTATTTTAGATCTCCTACATCCACAATGCTTTGCTTTCATCTGGGATGGAGGGATCGTCCTACATGGAGAGATTGCAGAAACTGGACCTGTATTCTGCAGAGTTTAGAAGAATGAAAGTGATTTCATAGAAACATAACTTTGTTTTGGAGGGATGGACAGAGTTGATGCAGAGAACCTGTTTCCCCTAGTCATACCTGACATAAAGGCCTAGAACCACGGGACACAGTCTCAGAATAAAAAACAACCTAATTAAGCCTAAGATGTAGGAAAAACTTCTTACTCAGAGTGGTGAATCTTTGGAATACTCTATCCCATAGGACCATGGAAGCTCAGTCATTAAGTGGTTTAAGTCCAAGGTTGATAGATTTCTACTCACTGCTAACATCAAGGGATATGAGGCGATATGGGAATATGGCATTGATGTAGATGATTAGCCACAATCGAGCATGGCAGTGTAATTTCAAGGGGCTGAATGGCCTGTTCCTGTTCCTGTGTACCTACAACAGATACTGGCTAAATTCTGAAATACTGCTTTAAGTTGCTGCAACCTGGCATGTTGCTATTTTTTCTCACCAGGGCATTGTCTTTCTGATAACTATGAAGTGGTAACAACACATAACTTTACATGCATATCAGCTCTAGGAAGCATCTGATTATATCAGTCATGACAGTCAGTCAACAGCTCATTTCTACATTAGACATCTCATTGGTGACCTGTTCATGCACATTTCTGACTTGATGCAGTTTCACATGGATTCAGATCTTCAGTGGCCTTGTCATTTTGAACCAATGATATTGTTATTTGATTCCAATAACAGAGGCTGAAGATTGATTCAGCATTGAGTACCACTAGGAATATTGTGGAACAGACCATAAGAATGTTCAAGACGCCTTTCTGGTGCCTGGACAGGTCAGTAAGATCTCTACAGTTAAAACCACCAAGGTTTGTGAAAATTGTAGTGCTTTGCTGAAGCCTCCATAATTTGATGATAACCAAGGAACTGGCACTTCTAAGAACAGAAGGACAGCATTCTGGAGCCAGAGTTCCCAGTTCATAACAAATAACCACAATAGAGAGAAGAATATGTCTTGATAACCTGCTATCAGTGGCACATATCATCAGACAAGATATTATCAACTTCGTCCAGTAAAAGAGTATCTTCAGGTGCATTGAATTGCATACAGTATTTGACACAGAATCAGACCATTCTACCCAATTGGTCTAAGCCTCCTTTCATTCTAATCATCTCTTTTCAACTTGCCTGATATCTGTCTAGATCCCTTTCTCCTTATATGTTTACCGATTCCTTAAAATGTGGCAACGCTATCCGACATATGACAGCAAGTTCCATGTGTTTAGTACTGTGTGTGTAAAGAAATTCCTCCTCAATTCTTTATTTGATCTCGTGGAGGTAATCTTTTACCGATGCACCCTTGTTCCAGACTCAGTCAAAGTGGAGGCAGTTTTCCATGTCCACCAATTCGAAACCCTTTATAATTTTGAAGAATTAGATCACACAGAGAAAATAGCTCCATCCTGTTTAATCTTTACTGATAAGCTTCAGTTCAGTCAAAACTCCCCGGGTGGGAGATCAGCCAGGACAGCACTGAAATAGCTGAGTTTGGCAATAACATTATTGTAAACATTGTCAAGGATTTGTAACAGTAGAAGGCCTGAGGCAGGGACAGAATTGGGTGATATTACAGAAGTGCAAGCATGTGTTCACTGCTTTTGTATATTTTTATATTGGATCTGGGCATAGCGCCAGTAGACACTTTGAGATAGAGGCTATAAATTTTTTGTTACATAAGAATATCAAGGGATTTGCTGATAAAGTGATAACTGGAATTGAACAAGAGGTTGAAAGGCCTGCATTTATTCACATGTGGCCTTTTAATGTGCTAATATGTGAGTCATTTTGACTGATTTGTTAAGAAAAAGAAATACAGATGACTGTCACAAATTTTGAGATTCATACCTTTTCCAAACCAGCATGACAATTTTGTGCTCATACCTAGTTTCAGCCTGTCTCGAGGAAACTCCCATTTATTATCATCATAAGGAAGGTGTTCACATTGCTCATCGAGTGGTACTTCATCTGGATCCATTATGATTGACAGGTAGTCGGTTTTTATTTCTGCTGATCTCGGCTAGAAAACCAAAACATGAGAAATCACATTCATGCAGGGCGGACATTTGTCCTGCAGATTTTTACAGTCTTCATGCCAATACTCATCATCTTAATGGTTAGTAGTTGGAAAGAAAAACATTGTATCATTAAGCATTATGGCTGAAGTAACCTTCAGGGTTCAACAGACTACAACAAAACCACTAGTATGATTCATTCAGAACTAAATGGCATCTTTCACTGGACTAATTAGCAGTAAGTTATGTAGCCTGTCAGACTGTCTTGATTAAACAGCAGGCATTGATAAAATAATCATGCAATGTTAAGGCTTATTTAACAAGAACAATTATAGATTTATAATTTTTTCTGGAAACAAAATTGAAAGTGTTTTCAGTAAGGAAGGTAACTTTTTGCAAAATACTGCAAATGTTTGCTTTAGAATTATATTAGTCAAATTGACATAACATTCTATTAAAAGTTAACAGGTGGTTATTTTTAGGTAATGTTTTAACATTTGTTTTGATACAAGTTAATTTCAGAAGTTTTTTTTTAATGGACACGTTCCGAACATATCTGCCTATAAAAAATCTTGCGTATTGCTGATAAAAGACACATTTTGTCCAACCTGTTTGATCTTGAACTCATCAGGATAATTTGTACGAATACCAATGTAAAGGGAAAACATTTATAACGTATGGGTGGAGAATGCTAATGGGTTGGCAACAGGGATCTGATTAGCAAAGGCATTGCCATGGATAATGCACTGGGTAGGCGACAAATGGCAGTTGACCGACAACCTTTGTTTGAATTTTAATCAGGCAAGTTGACTCTGATTGGTCAGGCATTACCATGGGAAATACACCAGAGAATTGACATCACCTATTTTGTTGAATTGAAATAGGTGCAGTGTGTACAAGTTCATTTCGTCTGCAGAAAACATGGCCTTGTGTACTAAGATGTACAGGTCTAGACAACAGAATTGGATCTTCTGAAGCCCAACTGAACCTACTGACCAGATGGAGCAGTTGTGTCACCTCTGCCTTGGGCTCTTTTAGATGGATCAATAAACATTTCTACAAGAAACTTCCCAAATCTTGAGGATACATTCACACTTGTTAAGGATGATGTGTGGCAGTCTGGACAGGTGGAAGATGAAATGGCCATGGTGGCTGCCAGAAAAGTGAGCATGCATGTGGAAGAACTACTAATTGTGGTGACAGTCCGGACCAACTTTCAGGGAATGAAAGGCTTTCTTGTTGACGGATCTCCCTGCTACTCAATGGAGTGTTACCGATGGTGCCCTGAACCTGGTGGAATCCAGCCAGATGGAGGCAAAGCCTGCCTCTATTAAGGGGGGGTATCATTGATCATTGAGATGCAGTAATCTGCAGTTTGCTTCTGAGATGATACTAAGATCCGCAGCTCATCCTTGGAAGGATCCACAGCAGAAGTCCAAGGCCACAACAGTGACTTTGTTGGCTTCTGGCAGCACATGGAGAGCATTGCTGCATACAGTGTGAGGTGTTCAGTGTTGAGGGAACAAACATCTGCAAGCATTTTGCTGGATGAACCTAGTTTCCTCCAGCACTGACTCATGATCATCTCTAGGTAGTTCCATCTCCAACAGTAGGTCAACATTGAAGATAGGGTATTTGATGTCCTTCTGCTCTCCTGAGGCCACTCTGCCCATCCTTTTGCTGCTTATCATCAGGGACCCAAAATCAGACTGCTTGCTCCTATTGCCAACAGCCGTCTTCCTTTTCGGCAGATGGTTGCCTAATTGTTCTTGAAAGTCTGGCTCCTGTTCCTCTGCTCACTTCTCACTCTACTGTCTTCTTTGTATCTTTCTATCCCTTGTTAACTACCCAGTCCCCCTTTTGCCACAACTCACAATGGAGCCAAGATGATACTCTGTGGCAGCCATGACTGAGTCTTCACTCCTTACCTAGCCGCTGGTAGGTCTTTATTGATTTTAAACAATATGTTTTCATATTGTTGTCTCTGCTTTGGGCACTTCGACCAGTTTATGCATTAAAAACATTTTATCCGGGCATTCTATTGGCGAGGAGCACAAAGGGACACAGAATTCTATTTGATGCTCAAATTTATTTTGTTAAAAACAAAATACTCCTATTAAAAACACCAGGTGAGCATTTCACAAATTCACACAATATTTACTCTCTATCTAGCGCTATCTTTCTGAGAAAGGATATTACCGGAAACAATCCATGTGTTTGAACTGGACTGTTGGAATCTCCTTCCTCTCTGACATAGGGCTGCATCTCTTCCACAAAGCTGGGTTTTGCAGGGATCATGGTGAATCTTCACTGTCACTGTCACTGTCACTGTCACTGTCACTGTCACTGTCACTGTCACTGTCACTGTCACT